AATGGTTCTCACCCAGGACCCAGGATTTTGTCCCCCAGGGCCATTTGGCCATGTCTAGAGATAATTTCTGTTGTCACAACTTGGGGTGGGGTGGGAAATGCTACTGGCATTTAGTGATTAGAGGCCAGGGATGATGCTAGACATTTTACAATGCCCAGGACAGCCCCTGCCCCCACTGAAGCTGTGGGCAGAAGAAAGAGACAGGTCTGGGGCCACCTACCACCTGGTTTTACAGACTTACTTGGGCCAGGCAGACTGCACTGCACCCTTTCAACCTCAAAGAACCACAGTTGCCATGGCTGAGCCCTCCTTGGTCCAATGTAATCATTTTGTACAGTCCACACACTTCCTGTGCGTGAAGGAAGCAGCCTGCCACCCCTGACCTCTGCAGGCATGAAAGTCATGTGAGAAATTCGAACAAAGAGTGCTAATATGTTGCCACTTGGTCCCCAAGGGCTGGGTGTGACGGTCTGCTAGAGATTATCAGGGTTTTGGCCTCCCGTTTCTGGTGGAATGTTTGGTTTGGGCTCCTCATTCAGTAGTTTCTGGAACTGTAGTTGAGAATATTTCCCTTCCAACCAACTCAAACCATAACAAAATAAAATTCCTTTGAGTCCTTGCAGTTTAGTAACTATTTGCTGAGCACTCACTCTGTGGCCAGCCCCATGCTTGGTGCTGAGAAGGAGGTGAGCAGAGACTCAGGCGGGTTCCATCTGGTGCCTTACTGGGCCGTTGGGGAAACGCAGAACCAGACCTCCAGCTCCTCCCCGTGCAAGCCACCCTCTGTACACACCCCGTCTTCATCTTCCTGAAGAAGCACAGCTCTGATCTTCGTACTCGTCTGCTCCAGAGCCTTCAGAGGCTCCCAGGTCCACTCTAAATGAAGCGTGCCCTCCATAAGCCTGTTTGACCCGGTCTAGCCTCCATCTCAAGCTGATCTTCGCTCTTCTGTTGCTGTGCTTTTCTCTTTTCAAACCAAGCTTTTCCCTACTCTCAGTCTCTTCCTTTGCTCAGGCTGTGCCCACTCCCTGGAACACCATGTCTGTGCATTCACAGGAGCTGAGGTGGTTCTGGTGGAGGTCCCAGCATCCTCTTCATCACTTCATCCCACACCCCCTTATCTGTAACTCTTTTGTGGCCCTTTCTACCTCCTGCCTTAGAATTATTTGGTTCTTGACTCTTGATCCTGCCAAACTGAGAGATCCTTAAGGGACAACTTAATATAACATTCAACTTGTATTTCCTTTTGTGGGCAAATTCTTAGCCTGATCCCTGCCATTGGTGGATGTCAGTTCAACCTGTACTACTATTTCCCAAGCTCTTCCTTGATGCCAGGTGCTGCCATATGTGATACCTCTTTTCATCCTCATGGGGACTTCATGACACCCGTGACATCATCCCACTTTTACAGATAAGGAAATTAAGGCTTAGAGGAACTGTCACTTCATTTGTTCATAGATTCATTCAACAAATGAGCACCCACTATGTGACAGGCTCTGTGGCATTGCAGGGAGGGCAGGAGTAGCGAGATATAGCAGACTGGTACCCTGGAGGCCAACTCTGACAGCTGGATTTAGCATCTAGCAGAATAATTAGGAATTGTTCTTGGGACCCACACCTGGGGAGGGATGGGGAGAAAGTGTGGGAACCATGACGCCTTACTGAAATCATAGCCATCCTGATGGGCTGTTCTGCAGGCCGAGTGGTAGAGACAGGAAAGGCAGGCTCCTGTGCTCCACACAGACCCATCTTTGGACGAAGTGTCAGTCTTTGGGAGGTATGTTCAGCCCCTGCTTTGGGCTAGGGGTTGTCTGCTGCCAGCCCTCCCAGCAACTGGGGGAGCTGAGAATCTACCACCAGAGAGGACGTTGTTTTCCACTCATGGATTTACATTCAAGTGGGGGAAACAAAAGACAAATGAATAAATAGGTAAGCAAGGACAATCATTCTACTTCTCTTTACATGTGCAAAGAAGGACAGGAATAAGTTATTTTGCCGATGGGGTCGCTGATGGGCTGAGAGGTTAAATGGCTTGAACCCATAGGTCCAGTTCCTGTCTCTGTGGCTCTGAAATACAGCCCTCTCTACTGTCTGTCCAGGCCAGTCAGTGCTAATTGCCCAGAGCCTTGACAGTCCAGCTGAAGAGCTGCATCTTGATCCTGTAGGCTTTGAGAAAACTTCAGAGGGACCCTGTGAAATACATTTCTAGGAAGGTATATGGGCACAGGCATGCAGAACTGGGGATAAGAATCAGACCCTTGGTTAAGGGGCAGCTTCAGTAATCTGGGTCCTGCAGTGATGACATGCTTGTTCTGGGGCTGGTGGTGGGAAATCTATCTTTTAGGATGCTTTTGGCTGCAAGTGACAACCCCAGCTTAAAGTGGCTTAACCAATAAAGCCACAGAAGTGGAAGTTCACTGGGAGGCAGGCTTTGGATTTAGTTCAACCAGATTCTCAGGAAGTCATTAAGGAGCCAGGATTTTTTTTTTTGTTCTGCCACCCAAGGCTGTTCCTTTTATGCCCCTAAGATGTTTGCTGGTAGCAGCTGGGGCTGAAAGAAAGGCTAAAACCTTCCTGTTAACCATGCAAGTCCTTCTCTTCCATCCAGTGAAGTCACTTACCCCTGCGCTAACAGCACAGGTCAGAATCTGTCATCTCAAGTTGGGGTGGGGTCAATGTCCTTGGAAGATTTCAGCTGGCGGGTTGAATACAGCCCTATTAGGAAACAGGAAGGAATACAGCCAATCCACAGCCCTATTAGGAAACAGGAAGGGCAAAGTGGCTGTTGCGGAGGGAACTGGCATCACCTGCCACTGAGAACAAAGGATTGGGCCATTAGAAGGCAGGAGGCAGTGGATTGAGAAGGAGGGATTTTTTAAAAAGTATCAAAAATAACTCCCCATTTTCTAGTTACCATGCCTAGGAAGATATCATCCCATTGACCAAACTCAAGGAGATGAAGGGAAGTTTAGGAGTGTGTTTGGGGGTCATTTGAGTTTGATGTGATGGGGGGATATCCAGACCATGCTGTTTTTGCAACAGCTGAAAATATAGGTCTCTGAGCTTGAGCTCATGGTTGTGCAGGATGGAACCCAGGAGAGAGGGCCATGGAAATGATGACATGGCTGCTGGTCACGGAGAAGTGGGAGGTGGAGCCAGTGGTGAGTGGGGAGCCAGTGGTGTGTGGGGGGCCAGCAGGGCAAAGGCTGAGAAGGCACGGCTGGTGGGATTTGTAAAGGCAGGACTCTCCCCAGCACAGCCACTTCTAGGGATTTATCTGATAGGGCCCCTGCCCTTGTGCTCAGTGATAGAGTACAGAGTACAAGGATGGTCATCACACCACTGTTTGAAATATTAGGAAGCTGGAGACAACCTAAATGCCCATCACTATGCAACTGGTTGATTAATTATGCTACATCTGGTACACAGAACCCCAAGCAGCTGTCAAAAAAGGAGGATGCAAGAGGTACATGGGCTGTGAAGGAGAAACCTCTCAGATACATTGTCAGAAAAAGTGAGATGCAAAGGTATACATAGAATACTCCCATTTGTGTTTCAAAAAGAACATATGCTATGCAAATGCATGCTCGTACATCCATAAGCTGTTTCTGGAAGGTACCAAAGAAACTTTGAATAGCAGTGACTCTGGGCGGCAGTCGCAGAGCCTGGGAGACTTCACATTTACCTTGCTGGCTGTTAGGGTTCCTTCCACCAGGTGCATTTAGTACCTTAAAAAAAATGAGATCATAAAAATAAATACAGCAGAAACTGGGTCTTGGGTGTCAGAGATGTGGGTGAGACTGAGCACTGACAGGAGCCACTGTGGGTGCCAGATAGTCCAGTGATCAGTAGGGCAAACGCCAGGCAGAGGGGCCACGGGAGAGACTGCTGTGCAGACTGAGAGTCAGGGAGAATAGAAGGAAATGGGGGTAGCTAATTGGGTTCATTGAGCAGCCCTGTGGAAGTCTGGGATGGGAACTGAAGGTTCCCTGCAAGCTCTGCACGGGAAGTTCTGCTAAGGCTCTGCTGTGCTTTTGGATTGGGTCCCTTTCTTTAGTCACCAAAGCTGGAGTGAGGTCTAAGCAGATCTCTGGGAATCATCCCAGAGCTTTTGCTGTCTGTTACGAGATCTGCTGTATATAAGGGCTGCCTTCAGACAAGTGATGCTTGGCAATTGCAGGCCCAGAAGCTGATAGAAAGGCTGTGGGCAAGGAGCAGGAGCCTGGTACTGAGCCCTCCCCACCTACTACTGAGTCCAGGGGCTGCTGACCTGCACTCCAGCTCCCCTTAGAAAGTCCCTGCACATGAGGAGGGTGTAACGGCCCCGGTAGAGTTCTGTGGTAAGAGAACCTGTCTCACTTCGTTTAACTAGTTTTTCCGAATGTTTTTGGTCACAGAAGCCCCAGTCTCCCTTTTTAGTGTGGCGCCCCCAGGGCATGCTTTGGGAAGTATTTCTTTGGTTTTGTAATAGATGTGGTAACTAAGTCTTCAAGGCCACGTGGCCAGTTGGTGACATAGTGGGAGCGAGAACCTCAGTCTTCTGCTGGTGATCCAGAGGGATGTCTATTTACCTGTGCGGCTCACAATGAATTGAGATGCTAGATCATTATTTCTCAAACTCTGTTCTATGGAACCCCACTCTCATGAGATGTTAATGAGTATTGAACTAGGGACACATATTCTGGTTACATAAATGTAGGACACACAGAAGTAAACAAAGCTGAACAGGCTGATTGGCTGTGGGGTTTCTCAGAATCTTTAATATGGTGATATCTCTGCAAATCACCAGGCAGGTTCCCCAACTTATATGGCCAGGGGAAACTTTGTTTCATGGACACAAGTTTAAGAATTCAAGTCTAAATCGATGAGGTTTATGTTGATTTCTTCAGCCCTCCCCACCTCACCCCACCCCAAGCATTCTTGCCCTTGCTGTATTGAAAAGAAAATTTAATGCAACCAGCCACCTTCTCCCCTCTGACATCTGCTCTTTCATGTTCCAGAGCAAGGAGATTGGCCTGCAGATGCACGAGGAGCTCCTGAAGGTCACCAATGAGCTCTACACAGTAAGTCCTGCTCAGCCTCTTTTGCCATTGAGATGGGGCCCCCTTTCTTCAGTGCCCAGGGCTGGGGGGCAGCTAACCAGAGGTCTGGGAGGACCCTGGGCCTCTTTGCTGTGTCGTGTGCCCGAGTGACAGTGGGTCATTATGGTGGGATGCAGTGATTTGCAACCCCAGCTTCTCATTCTGTACATTTGGGGTAGGACCCTGGACATGTTTATGAAAGTTCCAGCTGTGGGAATGTGTTTCCTACCAAAGCAGAAGACACAAACTTGGGGTGGTGGGATCATGGACACAAAAGCTCCTGGGGAATGAGTGTGGGTTTGGAGTCAGGACGGGCCAAAACTGAGGCCTGCTCCTTGTTGGCTGTGGGATCTCAGGCACGCACATAGCTCATGTGTACTCAGTATTCTCATCTGCAATATGGGGCACTATTCCGAGGATCACATGAGGCAATGGAGGTAAGCATGCCCTGCTGTCTCCAGGAAATAATTTCAGAACACCAGTTTGGCCAAGAACTGACCTTGCTAGGAGGCAAAATCTAACTGGACTTGGGATGAGTGTTAGAATCCAAGAAGGTGAGTGAGCGGGAACACTGGTTATGGTGCCAGCACTTAACTGGTGGTTGGTGCAGCAGGACTTCAAACCAGATTTGACTGTAATCAGTTTTCTCTGCTGGGATCCTATACTACCTCTCCTGTTGAGAATTTTCTTTCTCTTCCTCTCTTCCCCTCTGCTTCTTAAATTCCTGCCCATCCAAAGTGCCAAGCTCAAAACTCACTCTTGATCACAGAAGCTCACCTGGAGACATCATTTTCCTGACCTCTTAATTAATCTCTCATACATGCACACACTCCCCTTCTGATTTCTTCAGCCAACAAATGTGTATTGATTGCCGGCTGTAGCCCCCACAGGCTCACAATCTAGACACTCTCACTCCCAAGCTACATATCCAGCACATATGATGCTCTGTCTTGGGCTGCTGTATCATCCCTTCACACACTTTACTCTTGTCTCCCTGCCCAGATTCTAAACTCCTTGTGGGCATAAGCAGTTTCTTTCTTTTATTCACATATCCCTCCCCCGCTTCTCTGCTTCAGTGAGCACCCTGGGAACGCCAGGGATGTACAAGACACTTCAAAGACCATCTCTTGAAATGTTCACAGCCTGCCACTGTGCCTCTTGCAGCTCTGGGTCCACAGCAGGCAGCTCCACATGCTTGAATTTAAATGAATTTCTGGGTGGCTCCTGGAGACTCAGTGTGCAGTCAACAAATGACCTGGGGAGGCGGGTGCTGTTGGCACCCTAATGCTCTCACTCTTCCGCAGCATGCGGCACCTCCAAAATACCAGATCAAAGGCAATAGAACAGTACCTCCTCTCCTTTATTTTATTGCCTCCTTCACTTTTCCCCCCTATTTCATTTCCTCCTGCCTTCTTTCCATCTGTCTGTCCACCCACCTATCCATCTACTCTGGAAGTCAGCCTCTCTCCCTCCTTTGGTTTTGTTTTCCTCTGTGCTGCTTTCATGATCAGGCAGGCTTCTCCCAGGTGGTCACAAACATGATCTCCCCACCCAGCTCCACTGCTGCACTCACTTCCCAGCCGCTTAGCGCCCCCTAGTGGAAGGAGAACATCCCTTTCCCAGGGTTTCCAGCCAAGCACAGGGCTGTCTCCATTTGGCCTGGCTGGACTCCTGAGATCCAGTCCCTGTGGCCAGATTAACATAATGCTACTAATTGGTGGGGCCTGGATCTCACACCCACCCCCAGGATTGAAGACTAGCGTCAGTTTCCCATCAACCACATGGACTGAGAATAAGGAGGGGAATTTGGGGGACTTCCTCAAAGAAAATCAGGAAGCCGTTCTAGAAGGAGAAGAACTAGATGATCCTAGGCAGAGAAAAACAACAGATGTCCACTGAGGAGTAGCTGTGGGAGAATAAGGAAGCAGCTCCACACTGGCTAGTGCTCACACAAGCCCCTGCTCCTCAAACCTTTTTGGCTCCTGCTCCTGGGCTTATGCTCACATGCTCCCTTTGTCTGGAGCACTCCACCCCCGCCCCCACACCATGCTCTGTTCACCCAGCTAACTGCTACCCTTCTTCAGGGTTCAGTTTAGGTGTCACTTCCTCCAGGAAGTCTGTCTTTAGTACCCTGTACTTCCTTCATCATAGCACTTATCACACCATATGATAATCACCTATATAATTGTGTCCCTACTAGAAGGTGTATTCTGTGAGGGCAGAAACTCTATCTGTCTTCCACACTGTGGTATTTCCTAGCATAGTACCTAGCACATAATAACCTGTTCAATACAAATGTGGTGATTGAGGGTGTAGCTGTGCCCCAACCCAACCATATTTACCAGATTGAAGGCAGTAGAACTGTGCTTCCCCTACTTTATCCTCCCTCCTTCCCTCCCTCGGTCCCTTCCATCCAACTACCCATCTATTTATTCATGCATGCAAACATATATTGATACTGGGTACAAACCTCTGTTTTAATACAAGGAATGTGATCATAAACAAGGCCCTGGTCCTCATGGACTTTCACTTTAGTTGTGATGAGACTGTTTATAAACATGCAAAATGAATAAATAAGATAGTGTTGATAAGTTCTATGGAGAATGAGGAGGCTGCACAGTGTGGGTGGTTGGACTGAAATTTGGGGACTTCTCTTTTCCTTAAAGGTTGTGGCATGCCCGGAGTCTCACCTACTTACCGCTCTTGAATGGCCCAGGGATGGCCAGCCCTGGGGCAGAGAAAGTGCAAATGGACTGCATTGCTGAAAACCTTTTTTCTAACAACTGAGCCTTATCCTGCCCTAGCATGTCCTTTTATGGATATGGTCAACTTCCAGATTGCTTTTGCCTTCTTTTGCGTTTAAACAGCCATCTGAAGGGCTGTGCAGACAATGCTTTCCTGTTTTCAAGAGTTGAGGATTTGGGAAAATGTAAAGGCAAAGCATACACAGCAGAAGGCAGTGTGATTACCAGGAAAGACAATGTCCACAGCTAAGAAGGCCTGGCTGTCTGACTTGCTGTGTGAGTTTGGACAATACATGTGCTATTTCTGGGTCTTAAGTGACCTTCAGCGATGGGTTAGTACACCAAGATTTCCGGAGGGCCTTCCAAGTACCTGTGAAATGAATCTGGGTCCAAGAAGAGTGGTCTCAACTTCTGTGTTTCTATGTAGTGCTAGACTTGTTCTGAGGGACCTTCCTGATAGGGTCTGAAGGCTGGAAAGGGCACCCCCATCTAACATGCAGCCAGGTGCGTGCCTCTGAGGGGCCCTTAAGTGATCTTAGGTTGGAGACTGGACCTCAGCTAAACTGCATCCGTCTCTGCTCCCTTCCCAGCCCAACAGTGCTGTCAGCCAGTCACTTTATAGTCACAATTTATGGAGCACCTTGCTATCTACCTCCCACACAGTCTTCACCAGGCAGTACAGAGAGGGCGAGCCTCTGCCATGGTCACCAAGCAAGTGGCGACCATGCTGTGGGAGTGTTGGGTCTCAAAGCCAGGTCTCCTGGGTCCCTGTGGGGTAGAGGATCCTTTCATCCCTATTTTGTGGTTTCCTCATCTATAAAGTAGGGATCACATGGTATCCACCTCACAGGGTTTTTAAAAAATGTGTTAATTGATTTTAGAGAGAGAGGAAGGGAGAGAGAGAAACATCAATCAGTTGCCTCTCACATGCACCCTGACCAGGGATTGAACCCACAACCTAGGTATGTGCCCTGACAGGGAATTAAACCCTCAGTCTTTCAGTGTACGGCACCACACTCCAACCAGCTGAGCCACACTGGCCAGGGCCTCACAGGATTTTTTTTGTGTGTGTGAAAAATAAATGAGTTCCTATATGTAAAGAGTTACTATATGTAGGCAGGTAGGGCATGCTCTATAACTGCTGGCTGCTATTGTTGTTGTTATTGCTATCACATTGCCTCCCAGGACTGGGATAAGGACTAACTGAAATTCCCCTTGGCGATAATAAAAAGAGAGATTTGCAAACTCTGAGGTAACAGATAAGTCTAAATGCTATTTAACCTATCCTGGACTGGCAATATTGAGCAGACTTTTCTAGGCTGTTGAACTAAGGACCTTTCATTCTGACTCCTATGTTTTAGTTAATCAAATAAAATAAATTTATTTATCTAGAGGATTCTAGGTGTAAGTAGTTAATTAGGCTTGTTTTAGAGAAGTCCCCAAGTAAATTCTTTTGTGGCAGCTATTGAACATAAGTCACCCTGGCCGATCCAGTTCACTGATATTCTTGGGATCAAGCATTGCCAATTGAATCACAGACCATGTGGCCCCAGCATTGTGAGGACTGTGTTCTCCAAACATGGGGTTTGTGGAATGCAGTTTGGAGACTGCTGTGGGAAGTTTGGTTTGTAGCAGAGCAGGAAGAGCACTCTGTGGTTCAAGAAGAGTGGAAAACTGGGCAAAGGAAAATGTGAGAACACCCTGCTGGGATGCGAGCCTTGAGTGAATGAGTGAAGGGATGCATGCATGGATGATTGGACAGGAAGACCTAGCTGCAAACAGAATGCTCTCTCTTCCTCTAACTACCTAATGCAGATGACAGATTTAGTGGTGAGACAAGCAGACCTCCACAGCTGAAGTAGAAAAAATGGATGCAGTGTGAATGATTGAACCCAGAAAGGGTGGAGTCCAGAAATGAACTTCGCCTGCATCATGGTGGAGAAGCAAAGTGACCGGTGGAGCCTGTGAATGTGGAGGGATATATAGAGAAAAGCTTCAAGAGGGGGAAAGCACGGGCCCTGGAGGCAGACCTCAGCAGGCATTTCTAAGTCTTAGCCACATTATGTTCCTGGAGCCATGGTATAAAGGAGATGGTTGAAAATATGCAACTGCTTTGGTTCTCTATGCCTGCAGTCCTTCCTTTTGGCCACTAGATGTCGAGAACACATGGGTCCAGCATGCTTTCTGGTCCCTTAAGTTTGGAAATATGCTTAGTGTAACTGCCTAAACGAGTGGATGAAATTAGCAAGAATTTTAGGGCAACTGCAAATATGCATAATATTGGGTGGAATGCCGAGAAGAAGTCTTTTCACCAAGACTGACAAAGAAAAATTGATACCATTTTTTATTCATTTATTGTTTTGAAATTTTAGGAGGTTTTCAGGTTGAAAGAAGGAGGGAGAAACATGGTATAGAATGACTTTTTCACTATAGTTGCTGTTCTGTACAGTTTGCAGACTTTTTTTTTTGCAGTCAGGTGACTTCAAGGCTCTCAAACCCTCAGCCCAAACAGGAGGATGGTGACGATGGTGAGGATAATGGTAGCACAGCTCTTACTGTGTGGCAGGCATGTTCTCAGGACTTTACAAAAATTAGCTCATTAAGTCCTCACAACAAACCTATGAGGTAGGTGCCATTACCCTCATTTTACAGGTGAGGAAGGAGAGGTCAGAGAGGTTATCACTTGTCCAAGGTCACACAGCTTGTAGGCGGCAGCATCGGGATTTGGCCCAGACATTTGGACTCAGAATCCATACTCTTACCTGCCATGCTCTGCAACAGATGCTGCCCCTGTTGACTCCTGACCTCCGGCAAAGCGGACTTTCTGAACCACAGATCAATTCTGTGATTTAATGATAAGAGTCACAGAAGAAATCCTTATTCTGGTAAACTTACTTCACAAGACTTTAAATGAGAATAACTAAGGTTATAGTGTTGGCCAGCATTTCATTCCAAGTTCCCTGACTTTAAAGAGCCTGGTAAGGCAGGCGCACTGCACCCCCAGGTGGAAGCCGCTGCTTCATCAGCTGCTGTGATTCCCCAAACAACAGGAAAAGAGCATGACAAGGCTCAGGAGCCATGGATTCTTGGATTTGTTGTGTTTTTTTTTTAACATAGAAAGTCAGTCATAAATTTGATATTGCAAAGGAAAAGTGTACTTTTAGTTGGGGACCAGGATTTAGGATATTGCTCTAAGACTGCCAAGAGTATTCAACTACTGAGAAGATTGTAATAAATTAAGGAAACAGTATTATGTGGTAGAAAATGGTGGATTAAAAGTCAGAGACCAGGTTTCTAACTTTGCTAAATATGCATTTACTGTATGACTCTCCACTCAGCCTCTAGGTATTTATATAAGGGAAATGAAAACATACATTCATGCAAAGAATTGTACATGGATATTCATAGCAGCTTTACAAAACTGTAAGCAATCCATATAACTATCAACATATGAATAGGTAAACAAATTGTGGTATAGTCATACAATGGAATGACTATACATGGAATGACATACAATGGAATGACATACAAAATGTGGTATAGTCATACTACTCAGCAATGAAAAAGAACTTCCGAAACCTGCAACAGCATGGGATAATCTCAGAAAATTCTGCTGAGTAAAAGAGGGCAGACCCAAAAGAGTTCATAGTCTATGGATCCATATATATGAAGTTCTACAGTGACAGAAAGCAAATCAGTGAATGCCTGGGTGTGGGGTAGGGGTGGGGATCAGCAGCAGAGAAGCACAAGGGATCTTGTTGGTGCTTCTGATCGGGGGGTTGGCTACAAGGATGTGAATTCTGGAGACTATGCTGATAATATCGTATGATCTTAGAGAGGCCACTTTGCCCTTCTGAGCCTCAGTTTTCCTATTTATAAAATTCAGTGGTCGGATTAGATGACATCCAGGATTTCCTCTGACTCAAAAATTTCCTTGTTATAACAATATATAACTTTTATTATGGATGCAGAGTAGCAGAGTGCAATATGCTTTATAGTCATTTTACAGTCAAGGATGAGTTTAGTTCAGAGAGCATAGACTATGTATTCAGTTACCCAGTGGTACTTCTTTTGGGGATAGAGCAATTTGTAGGACAATTTTACTTAAGGAAATAGCAGAGAAAATAATTTGTATGTGAGCAAGAAGGATATTCCCATGGGAGCTCTGTGAGTACTGGAGGAGGGGCTTTCCTGATGACCCCACAGGAGGAAGCAGGTAGAGAGGTCAACTGCGGAACAGCCAGATCACCTCTGAGACCGCAAATGCTTGGGGACTATGTTTGCCCTTTTAAATTTTTACTTGTCCATTCCTGGCACTTAGTAAGTACTTAATGATGGTGGTGGTGATGATGATGATGATGATGATGATGATGAAGCTGCTACTGATGATCATCATCATTTCCAGTCCTCAGAGAATTTGTGCAGAAGTGAAGATCTGCAGGAGCTCAGACTGTGTCATGGGAAGAGTGGGGGCTGACCAAACTGCAGTGCAGAACTTTGGGGGCCCAAGCTAGGCTCTCGCAGCCTGCCAATTCCCCCACTCATGTGTCCTCAGGTCATGAAAACCTACCACATGTACCACGCGGAGAGCATCAGTGCAGAGAGCAAGCTGAAGGAGGCTGAGAAGCAGGAGGAGAAGCAGTTCAACAAGGCTGGAGAGCTCAGCATGAACCTGCTCCGCCATGAGGACCGGCCCCAGCGCCGCAGCTCTGTGAAGAAGATTGAGAAGATGAAGGAGAAGGCAAGTGAGGGCCCTGGAGCAGGAAGGGGAGGGCCAGGCCCCCTGGCAGCCTCAGCCTCCCCTCTGCACCTTGAGGGGTATGAGGATAGAATAATGCTGCCTGCATCTGATCCTTTTGCTTAGGTCAGCAGGCAGGGAGAGGTGCTTAGCTGACAAGAGAGCTGAACTGTGACAAGACTCACGCCCCCCGAGTGCATTCTCTGATGGGCAGGAGTAACCAGGCATTAGTGGTGGCAAGAACTTGCCCCGGGAGCTCAGATAGGTGGCTGGGGGCCGGCTGGGACTGAGTGTGTCCCAGCAAGAGGGAACAGCACTAGGCTACCAACCAGCACCTGGGAACTTGGTAAAGAACCATTCTGAAATTGCCATTGCCAAGGCAGAAAAGCACCTGCCAGCCCTGATACACAGTGATTCCAACACATGAGTTAGAATCTCTGTGTATCAGGCCTGGCAGGTGCTTTAGTGGGACATGGTGAAGGGAATGCTGGTTTTGGAGGTGGATAGACTGAGTTTGAAAATGCCATATTTATAACACCTCTCTGAACTTCAGTTTTGAAATCTGATGGTGATAGCAAATAAATGTCCCATCCAAGTCAGCTCTGATCCGTTGGTGGTGCCTGCACAGAGCTCTGTGATGCGGATCATGAGCCCTCTCCAGGTGTCAGCTAAAAACGGTGCCAGGATCGAGTAAATTCTGCCGTGGCCAGAATTTAGAGGGGCAGTGCACAGGTTGCTTTTCTGTCATCCTAGGCTAGGGGACTTATAAGGTTCATTTCTTCTTAAAACACTGTGATTTCTTGTTGAACTCTCTTCATTCATTCATTCATCTATTCATCCCATGGAATCAGCAGACACTTCCTGAGCTCTTTCTATGTGTCAAACATTGTACTGGATGTTTATTCGGGCTTAAATGAGACAGATTCTATGATAATATGATCCTACAGCCCTTAAAAATGATAGGAGATTGAGTGGGAACAAGATCCAACAGGACCTGGGTAAGCTGGAAAAGTAACCAGAGGCAAATAAAATAAGATTTCAGGGCCATTGCCAAATGCAAAGAAAAATAGGCTCTACAATACTCAAGCAGAGACTCGATTAAAAAATGGGCAAAGGATTTGAATAGACATTTCTCTAAAAAACGTGTACAAGTGGCCAATAAGCACATGAAAAGGCGCTTAGCACCGTTAGTCATTAAGGAAATGGAAATCAGAACCACAGGGAGACACCACTTCATACCCATTAGAATGGCTAAGATAAAAAAGGCAGACAATGTCAGATATAGATAAGGATGTTGAGAAAGTGGAACCTTCTCACACTGTAATATAATATGACTCAGCCACTTTGGGGGTAATATAATATGACTCAGCCACTTTGGAGAATATTTTGGCAATCCCTCCAAATGTTAAATGTAGACTAAGTTACCATATGATTCAACAATTCCACTCGTAGGTATCTACTCAAGGTAAAATTAAGCATATGAGATCTGTTCAGAAGGTATCCAGCCATGTAATATGAAAAATAGAGACATTTACTGAGGAAGATACAAGGTACAAGAAACACTGTACATTGGACAATGACACCTCAGTCCCCTTAAAAGTAGGCACCTTGGGACCTCACACAGTTCTCCCCATCACCATCACCTGCCTCATCATGTTTTCTTGAATCTTACTGATGGTCTGAAATCTCTTCCCTTTCAAAGGTGATTTTAGTTTGGGGAAAAGGCAGAGGTCACAGGGTGCCACATCTGGGTTAGGGGGGCTGAGTCCCCTGGGTGATTTGATGTTTGACCATAAAACTCTGCACAAGACAGATGCATGAATGGGCGTGTTATTGTGATGAAGCTGCCAGTCACCAGCTGCCCATAGCTATGGCCTTTTAAATCATCTGAATAGTTTCCATGGAGGAATGTTCAAGGTTAATGCAAAATTTGATGCAGACTCATTGCTCTCTTTTCTCAGTCATTTTGAATGCAGTGGCCACACAGCATGCATGCTCACTCAGAGGCATCTACTGCCCCCACTGACTAGTACAGTGAAGTCGTCATTGTTCATGAATGTGCATTCCAGTCCACTCTCCTTGGCTGCCAGGTTACATTGATGTTGTGCAAACTATTCTTGTTATATTAACAATGGCTGGACTTTTTCCAGACAGACCTCGGATGTCTATATAAAAACTGGCACATGAATGTTCATAGAAAAGCATTATTTAGAATAGCCCAAAGTGGAAACAACCCAAATGTCTGTCACTGACGAACAGATGAATAACATGTGGCCTATCCATGCAATGGAATGTTATTTAGTCGTAAAAAGGAATGGAGCACTGATTCATGCTACTGCATAGATGAATTTTGGAAACAGTATTTAAGTGAAAGAAGCCAGTCACAAAAGGCCACCCACTGTAGGATTCTATTTATATGAAATGTCCAGAATAGACAAATTCATAGGAACAGAAAGTAGATTAGTGTTTGCCAGGGGCTGGGGCAGAGGAGATTAGGGAGTGACTGCTAATGGGTGCAGGGTTTCTTTTGGGGTGATGAAAATATTCTAAATTTAGATAGTGGTAGTGGTTGTATAACTCTGTGAATTAAAAAAAAACATGATCAAGGAATTACAGAACTACAATATAGGGAGGTATATAGAGGCATAGAGAGAACACTGTCTGGGAGTCTGGAGACTACTTTTTTGTTAAGAGTTGTATGCTGATTAGCCATTTGGCTCTTAGACAAACTACTTCTGCCCTCAGTCCTCATTTCTTCACCTATAAAATGGATGAATTAAGCTAAGATACCTATAATATCCTCCCCAGGTATACAACTGTATGAGTCCATGAAGGGCTGAAAATGGTCTCGGGGTCAGAGTGGCCCCCTGCGAATTGGTCAGGAGTATCAAAACGTTCTGTGGGGGGTTGGGTGCATGGGATCATCCATGGTGTTGGGTAGGGTGTGGGTAGGGTGTTACTGCCAGAGGTCTATTTCTGGAATTTCCCAGAATAAATGGACCCTAGAGAAAAGTCTGAGGAGATCTCTGGGGACACCTCTACTAAAAAGCTAAGAGGACTCAGCCTGGAATAAGGAAGGTTTAAGAGTGCCTAGGTGAAGGAGGAAACCCTGTTTCTTTAAGGAGAGCTGCCTTTTTACCCAACAGTGGGACTCATTAGTCTGAAAGGGGTGAGGGCACAGCCTTCCAACCCATGTACTCTGTACCCGTTCCTGCCCAGCTGGCCCACAACAGAAGCAGCTTCCCAGGGAGGCAGTCCGGCTCCTAGCAAAGACTGGCCCCTCGGGCTGCCCCACTCTGCCTCTCCCACCACTCATATCCACACAACCAGCGAGAATCATTTAATGATTGCCTTGTGCAGGGATTGTTCGGGGTGTGACAGGTGCAGCAACAAACAAGGCGTATCACGTCCCTGACTTAGTAGAGCCTACTTTCTGGTGGGGGCCACTGGAATTCAGCAAGTGCACAAAGAAGAAAAATAGAGCAATCAAGATGTCGTTCAGTAGATGAATGGATAAATAAACTGTGGTAAATCCAGACAATGGAGTATTCACTAAATATTGAAGATCCAAAAAGAAATGAGATAGTAAGCCATGAAAAGACATGGGGGGGGGGTCTTAAAATGCAAATGACTAAGTGAAAGAGGCCAATTTGAAAAGGCTACATACTGTATGATTCCAACTATATGACATTCTAGAAAAGGCAAAACTGTGGAGACCATGAAAAGATGAGAGGTTTCCAGGGGTTGGAGGGAGGGAGGAATCAAAAGGCAGAACACAGCAGGTGTTTAGGGCAGGGAAACTAGTCTGTGTGACACTATGATGATATCTAAACCCATAGAATGCACGACACCCAGTGTGAACTCTAAGGTACTCTGTGAACTCTGGGTGATGATTGTTAATGAGTGTACCACTCCGGTGGGGGCTGGTGATGATGGGGGAGATTGTGCAAATGTGGGGGCAGAGGCATATGGGAAGCCTCTGTACGTTCCTCTCGATTTTGCCATAGACCTAAAACCGCACTACAAAATAAAGTCTTAAAAAATTAAAAAATGAAAATCACTAAAAATTGAATGAAGATGAAATATGTGAAAAAATAGAACAGGGCAAGGGGATAGAGAGTGGAGGGAAGGATAGTGGAGAGTCAGGGAACACATTTTGGACAAGGCTGCCATCAGAGTCCCTCCTGACCCTGTCACCTTGGGTAAAGACCTGCATGATGTGAAGGACCAGCCACATAGAGACTTGGAAGGATGGCCTGCTAGGCAGGGGACAGTTATTCTGAAGGCTTGGAGGCAGGAATGAACTTGACCTCTTAAAGGATGGGCAGAGGAGGCTGGTGATGAGGGAGAACATGGAGGAAGAGGGGCTTGAGAGGTCACTGAGGCCATTGTCACAGTCTGGGCAGCCACAGAGGGCTCTTGAGTAGGGGCCGCAGGAGGTCTCACTGACTCAGCTCTGGTAGAGGCTGGTAGCAGGCTGCTGCTTAATGAATAGTGCTGTTGTTGGTCCACACGGGCAATGTAAGATGAGCTTTTTTAAAAAAATCCTTACCCAAGGATGTGTTTCTTGATTTTAGAGAGAGAGGAAGGGGGGTGTGGGGAGAGAGAAACATCTACCAGTTGCCTCCTGTACTCGCCCTGACTGGGGATCAAATCTGCAACCTTTTGTTGTACAGGGTGACCTTCTAACCAACTGAGCCACCTGGCCAGGGCTAGGTGAGCTTTTTGAACACAGGGCCCAAATCCTACTCACCTAGCACATGGAGTAATGTATTCTAAAGGGGTGGTGCAGCAGATTGCACTACCTGGAATGACCATAAAGAGAATCCCAAGTCCCTTCCATCAGTGGCTCAGCTCTCACATCTACTCTGTCTTTCCTCCAGAGGCAGGCGAAGTACTCTGAGAACAAGCTGAAGTGCACGAAGGCCCGAAATGACTACTTGCTGAATCTGGCTGCCACCAACGCAGCTATAAGCAAATACTACATCCATGATGTCTCCGACCTAATCGACGTGAGCACCTGGAGTCTGGGACTGGAAGGGCCTGGGCTGGCGCCAATCATTGGCTGAAGGAGGGGCTGGCCCCTGTCCTTAGATGAGCTTCGAGGGTGGAGGGGAAGGGCCCTGAGCATGCAGGGGCTTGGGAGATGAGTTACTTCTTCCATGGGTGGGAGAGGGCCTATGGTGGACTCTACACCATTGGGTCAGGCAGTCACATATTCAGAGTAAAATTCCCGAGTACCCTCCTCTAGACCAGCCCCTTGGCTGGGTTTGGGGTATGGGAGCGACTGCCCACAGTTCATGCCTTAGGGATTTCCTAGAGCTGTACAGACATGTTCAGCGCCCCCAGGTCTAGTCGTCAGACAGTCACATACACAGGAAAGAAAATTGTCAGTGAGACAGAATTATAGCTGGTCCTTGACTATGGTGGGGTTTAAGGGTGCCAGTCTCCCCCTTCAGTCGAAAATCTGCATATGACTTTTAATCCCTCAACCCTTAACCACAGTCGTCCCTCGCTAACTGCAAATGGTCCATTCCCTGACATAAAATGGTGTGGGACATTGCATATAGTTGGCCCTCTGCCCACACAGATTCCCAGCCCTGCATCAGAAATACTGTCTTCAGTCCACAGTTGGTATAATCCAAGGATGTGAAAGCTGGGATGAGCCGGCTGCACATTTATTGAAAAAAACCCATGTATAAGTGGACCAGCAGTTTAAGCCTGAGCTGTTCAAGGGTCCACTGTACACAAGTCAGCTTTACTTGGGGATGTTATCATTGGAGAAATCAGGCAGTTTAAGCAAAAGGAGAATGACACACTGACTCCCAAGTGCCAGCTGCATAGGTTGGGCCGAAGGGACAGCTGTGCTTGGAGAAAGAACATTGTGAGTGGTGTCATCAGGGATAGCCTCTGTCATCTTTTTTGGAACCAGGACTGCTTTCTCGTGTCTTCCCCCACCTAGCAGACAGGGATTTGGTCCAGTAGATGCTCAGTAAGGACTCCATAGTGCTGAATGGATCCTTTTCCTCTGTCTTTGCTGTATCCCATCAGGAGGGCTACAGGAGGGACCCATGATCACCATCCCCAGGAGAGGGATCTGCTGGGCCCTGCCTGTGCCTTCTAGTGCCTGAGGTCAGACCCCACACACACACCTCTTTCTTACAACTTTCCTTTTCATTCTTTCCAGTCCTCAAATTTTTATTGAGCAGCTACTAGCTCTAGGTCTTGAAGTGCTACAGTAGACAAAAGCCAGTGGTTCTGCCCTCATGGAACTTATACTGCATAACCCTGACCTGTTAACAGGCAATTGCAATGCCATGTGGTAGATGTCCTACTGAGGGAGGTGGAGGGAGATGTGGACCCCTAGGGGAGGCACATCTGACATAAACTCTGAGTGGGGAGAACATCAAAGAAGACTTCCTGGAGGAAGTGACCTCTAAACTGAACCCTGAAGGAAGGACTTTTATGCAGGAGGAGACAGGAAGAGTATGTCAGGCAGAGGGAATTCGTGTGTGAAGGCCTAGAAATGAGAAAGTATGTGGTGAATTTGGGAAGCTGAGAGAAGTTCTGCTTTCCCCAAATGGCAGTCCCCAGCTCCACCTGAAGGCGTTGGTGTGATTTGTGTGGTAGGATTCCAAAATGCACAAGGACCCCCAGGATGAAAGGTTTTGACTATGGAATAAGAGGTAGTTGTAAGTCATCCATGATGGGACAGGAGATGCTGGTGGTCCCCACCTTCACCTCACAGCCCTCACCTGCACCCTTCTGTTGTGTGTCTGTTTCCAAGTGCTGTGATTTGGGCTTTCATGCCAGCCTGGCCCGCACCTTCCGGACCTACCTCTCCGCTGAGTACAACCTGGAGACCTCTCGCCACGAGGGGCTGGATGTCATTGAGAATGCGGTGGACAACCTGGATTCCCGAAGTGACAAGCACACTGTCATGGACATGTACAACCAGGTCTTCTGTCCTCCACTCAAGTTTGAGTTCCAGCCCCACATGGGGGATGAGGTATGTTTCTCCGAGGAGCCATGCTTGAGGCTGCTTCTGTCTGTTCTCCCATGTGCTCCCAGAACATCAGTGGTATGGGGGCCATTAGCCCCCCGTTCCACATGTAAGATGTGTATCCCAAGGTCTGGGGTCAAGTTCTCAGTCCAACGGCTTCCCCAGCCAAGGAGTATATCACTAATATCTTAACCTTGCTGGCTCAAGTCCCCCACCTGAAGAATTGCAGAACCTTAGTGCTCCTTCAAATCCTCCCACTTATGTCCAGAAGACCCCAAGAGAGTCCCACATCTGGTACTTTCTCCCTTTGGATCACAGGAGGCTGGGCCTCATCACAGCCACTCTGGCCAGAACCTCACCAGGGCACTGCCTGTCCTCCAGCCCAGGAGGCACACCGCTGACCGTGCTTCCTCAGTGCCTGTGCTGCTCAGATCCGCGCTGTATTCTGAGGGGGAAACAATGGGATAAGGCATTTGTCACTGGCCCCAAAGCAGCACACTAGTTACCCAAGCTTCACAAAATTCCTTGTGCAAATAGTTCCTTGAGCTTTTCTGTATCATTCCTCCCTCTGTCTAGGGCTTGGTTCCTAGGCTTGGAACTGATGGAGAGAGCCATCACACTCTGCCTCCCTGTCTCTATTATCTCTACTCCAGGGGTATGTGCACAGAACTTTCTCCCAGTGGCGTCTCTCTGTCCACCTAGATATAGGGTCCAGCACACATAGTGCCCCTCTTTTATTACAAAATCTTTTATTATAAAATTATAAGCATATAATTCTGTCACATAACAATATCATGGTCAAGCACACCATTTTAGGCGAAATGTTCTAATTAAAACTATATTGCACCCATATTATTGCCTGACCAACCACACTCAAGTAGGCCTTTCCTCTGCCAGACCCTGTATATCCCAACCAGGCACGTGGGAGCTCAGCGAATCCAGACCTGTAGTGTAGAGGACCCTGCCTGCCTCTGGATCCTGTCCCCACAGGGGACTCAGCTGGACTATCCACTAAATTTGCGTGACAGGAAGGGACAAGGAAGCTCAGCAGATGGCATTTGCTGGACCCTCCGGATGGTTCTACCCATTTTCTTCATCCGCAAAAAAGAGGCCAGTGCAGGGCTTCCTGCAGCACCTGCCCCATCCCTCTGTCCGCACATCTAGCCCTTTTGGCCCATCATCTGGACCTGAAAATTCTGACCTCATGGTTACCACTGGTGCCTGCAAAGTTTGGGTTGCCTGGCTAGTGGTAAATAGCTAGTAAATAACAGAGCCCTACTATCCCTTGTGATCTCAGCTGAATCATCCCAGGCAGCCCAGCCCACAGGTGGTGATAGGGCCCTGGGTGGAATGGATGTAGGGAGAACAGTATTTCTCCCCACTCTTCCCCTTCTCCACCTCTCACCCAATCAAGCTGCTGTGGAGGAAGTTCTGTGAGATGAGGTCACCACACAGTTGCTTCTCTGCCTTTCTGAAGCACCTTCCTGCTGGTTGCACCAGCTGGAGCACCAGCTGGTTGTTGCCCATCTATTGTTCTTTTCATTGGCTTCTCTTAGGCAGTTGCTTTCTTACTACAACTTCCTGCCTGGAAATTAACCAACTAGTCTCACTTATCGAGATTATGTCAAAGCTCTTAGTAAACCCTGAAGAGTGGACAATGTGGAAGACCACAGCTGAGAGGCCAGTGGTGCAATTCAGGAGGGTGGCCCCTTGTTCCTGTCTAGTGTTACTGGGTATAAGCTGTGGTTCCTTTGGCAGGTAATTTAAGGTCTCCAAGCCTGTTTTCCCAGCTTTTGATAGGGATATTTGTGATAGCTCTGGCCCTAACTCCACACAGGTGATGAGGGCACTGGGCAACCACAGGTGGGGGCTGTTGTTTCTACAGGTGTGCCAAGTCAGTGCTCAGCAGCCTGTCCAGACAGAATTACTCATGCGGTACCACCAGCTGCAGTCCAGACTGGCCACTCTCAAGATAGAGAATGAGGAGGTGAGTGAGCCCCTCTGCTTTATAAGGGATCTCCTTACAAAGACCTAGCTTATCCTGGGGAGTCCACACTCACCAAAGAACACAAGAAATTAGGGTTCATCTGTAAGATGGACTATTACACAACTATTAAAACCATGCATACCAAGAATCTTTAATGGTAAGGGGGAATTCTCACAAGATATTAAGTTAGAGAAATGCAAAGAGAAAGTAAAACTGTATGTTCAGTATTATCATAACTAGGGTAAACTAGAGCATGTGTATATGTATCTGTGTGTTCACAGTCACAGAAAAAAGATGGGAAGGAGGTACTTCAAAATGTTAACAGTGGTTATGTCTGGGTTGTGATTTCTGTTTTCCTCTGTGCTTTTCTCTATTTTCTGTGATGAGCTTATGTTATTTTTACCATCAGAAATAATAATAATTGGTTTAATTTATACAATTAGATAATAAATAACCCCAGGCACACTAAACGTGTCATGGATTCTGAGTTCCAAGGAACTTCTGTCTTACCATGGCCAGCATACCTCCCATGCAGCTGGTGACACAGGATTGCCACTGGGAGGGTACAGATGGAAATCCAGTTGTGGTGGTTCCACTCTGATGTGGACAGATGAGGCCAGGTGGGAAACTTTCTATTCCAGCCTGGACACCTCCATGCAGGCAGAATATCAACCAACTGGAGGACACCAGGATGTGGGGCATGTCACCCAGGATCGTGGGCAGGTTTATCACTGAGAAGCATTCACAGCTGGAAATGGGGAGCCACAGTCCTGTCTTCACATCTGAAGATGGCTCTCCATCTGGGCAGAGAGGCCGGTTCACCTTGTATCTCCACAAAGGACAGAGCTCAGGCTGATGTGAGACAGGTCATCTCTCAGGATGATGACGAATCAAAGCACTTCTTGGGGGGAGGTTATGAGGAGACATATTATGTATTTGTTTTTCAAACCTAACAAACTGTTTTCTTTATTTATTCATGCTCTACATCTTTCCCTGAAACATTTTTAATTGCTTGCATGGGACAATATATGGATAATAATGTTAATGGAATTTAAGTTGGAAATTGGGGCCATAGAAAGAATGAAACAAGTGTTCCTCTGTATAGGTTGTCCATGGTCATGGAAATTCTTGATTTTGAACCTGAGCTTCTATCAGGCTATGTTAGAAAGAACTGACTCATTCGTTCACTTATTCATTCAACAAGTATGTATTTAGTGAATACTTACTCAAGTATTTCTTAAGCACATACTATGTGCTAAACATTGTGCTAAGTGCAGAGTAAAGAGAGTGAGCAAGACAACATAAGTAGCTCCTCTCATGGAGTTTATATTCTAGTGAGAAAACATAGACAATCCAAACACAAAAACAGACAAACCAATAAATGAATGAGTATGCGAAGTATTAGACAGAGATAGGCACTAAGTTAAAAATTGTTGTCGGGGGTGCCTGATGTCACTAGGAGGTGACAGTTAAGTCGAGACCTGAGTGACAAGAAAGAGACTTTGAGCAACAGTAATTTAACAATGAATGTAGCTGCAGGTTCCCCTGGAACTGTTTTTGGAATGATGCTCCATCAGAGTATAGGGCTCAAGCCAGTGAAGGCATATTGTGAGGTGGCGGCTTGTGTGCCCTGCTTGTGTAGCCTTCTAGGGATCCCAATCAATCCCAAGAGAGAAGTTGGAATCCTGGAGAAATGACCAGGCAGTGGTGTCTCAGCATCTCTCTTCCTCGAGGTTCTCTTTTCTGTCTGACTTTTGATAGGACTCAGGTGGCAGATCGCTGGAGAGTCCATTCATTGAGGGTGGCCGCTCAGCTTACTCAGACTTTGTCCCTTCCCTGGAGAGAACCAAGAGTATTTCTAGCGTTGTCCCTCCCCAGGGAGCCTGCCTCCCACTGAAGGAGGTAGTTTGGGGCTATATAAAACCAGGTAAAGAGAAACACACCTAGAAACCTGAGTTCCTTGTTCATCACAATATTTTCCAAGATTCTCTCTGGATGAAGCAATTCAATAAAACAACTTTAGATTGGGCAACCTGGGTTCTCACCCCACCCAGCTAACTGGCCTTAGTGTACACATCAGTGTAATAGGAATGAATGACTATCTTGTCCTGCCTGCCTCCTAGAGGCTTTGTGTGGAAGAAATAAAGTAATGGTTGGAAAAAGGGCTTTGAGGTGTCAAAGGCATTCTGAGGCTAAAGGATTTTTGTTGACATGTTTTCCCAGGTGAGAAAAACCCTGGATGCCACCATGCAGACTTTACAGGACATGCTGACTGTGGAGGACTTTGATGTCTCTGACGCCTTCCAACATAGTCGGTCTACAGAGTCTGTGAAGTCGGCTGCCTCTGAGACCTACATGAGCAAGATCAACATTGCCAAGAGGAGAGCCAACCAGCAGGAAACAGAAATGTTTTATTTTACGGTAAGTGGACCCAGAACCTGCTGTCTGCTGACCCATGGCATTGATTTGGGGGAGCAGCCCAAGTTAGTGGGAGCCAGCGAAACCACAGGGGTCAGTTAGACCTACAATTCTTCCAATATGCTTCTCAAATTAAGTTACCTGGCTTGGCTTCGTGAAGTGCAGGAATTGAGTTACCAGTGACAGTATTGGCATTGATCTTGAATTGACAGTCATTGCGGCTTTCCTGCTCTAGGAAAAAAACAGAGAGTATGTTCAGTAGAGTAAGAGGAAAATGGTAATGGAGCCAGGTGCAAGCCCCACGTAATAACCCAAAAGTTTAGTGGGTGGTTGTCATGTTGCAGTGTGCAGGCTTTGGAAACAATGCCATTAGTGGTCCATGCAAACTGCTGGTGAGTTGCCAGCCCTTTATATAAAATCCTAGATGGCTAATAGTCCACTGCCAGGGACAGGGAGGAACAAGGATAAGAGGCAGCAGGGCTTTAGTTTGACATGTCTGTATTGAACATAGAATTTGGGTTTTTAAGGGACCTTAAATCTTCTATCTAATGCTTGATCCCATTCAACCATATCGCTGTCAGAAAGTCATCCAGACTCTGCTTGCACAGACCAAGATGAAAAGCTCCCTCTTTCCCCAAACAGCTCTTTTGTTTGGCTTGTGGCTGGCTATAGATATTGTAATGTTTTCCCTTTTGTCTGCTCTCTTCAAAAATCCACCTCACTAGGATTTCTGGTCATTGATCTTGAGTCTGTTCTCTGGGGTGATCCAGAGACAGGCTGATTCTACAGTCTTTGGCATGGCTGCAGGGACCTCAGTTTTCATTTCTCCAGGCTAAATATGTCTGGTTCCTTCCGTTCTGCCTCATAAGATTTTCTTTCGAGTGGCCTCAGTCTCCTAGTGACTCTCTCCGCTCCATGGGCCCTTTGTCAGTGCGTCTTCCAAAGTGAGACTCCCAGCAGTGTGGTCTGACCAGCACGGAATAGAGCTAAACTTCCACAGTTGGTGCTATGTTCCTTTTCATATGTCCTAAGATCATACTCCTTCTTAAAAATAAAGATGGGTTTATACCAGTTAAACCTGTTCCCTACACCCTGACATTGAACCAGGTCACCCTACTTCCAAAGGATGTATAGGCGATGTCTTGGGTAGGACTTATGTTTACCACCAGTGGGATTTCCTCTTGATGGGTTCAGTTCACGGCTCCCAGCTGTCAAGGTCCTGATCTACTTCAATATACAGGGGGTGGGACAAAAGAAGACTTACAGTTGCTTGTATGGAATATTTACAGTAAATAATAAATAATACAAGAATAAACTTTGTATTTCATGGAGTCACTACTGTAGACCTACTCTGCTCACCCTGGTATGTGCTGCCTTGTCAGCCCTCGTGCCACCTGCAGATTCAGTGAACATGGCTTCCAACCCGAATGTTTGTCAATAAGAAAAGAAAGCTGGTATGTCAGGGGCAAGGCCAAAGACAGAGTTGTTCAAAATATGCCACTAGGCTAATATTGATCCACTAATCAGCGCTTTTAGATTGTGGTCATTTAACCGTCACAAACTCTCCCAGTTCTCACATTCATCTGGTGACAGCCCTTGTCAGATCCCTTGTTAAAAACCAGTAGTCAACATGTACTTCATTTCCTCCATCAGCACTCTTTGATCTTGTTGTTTTCAAGAAAGAAAACATAGCTACTAGTGAATCAGCTGATGCCAATTTCTGGCATTCACCACTTTTACTGGGGGCCTGCTCTGTTTACTGGGAGAATTTGTGGGTGTGAGAAGAGCACGTCAGTGTTAATTCACTCTGGCAGCAGAAACAAAGGAATCTGGATGGCAGGGTGGACAAACAAAGGAATCTGGATAGCCTGGTTGAAGCTGAAAGATAGAATTCACCAACATCTATGATAAGGGTTATTGATGTTATGTGTTCATGTTAGTATTCAATTTATGAATCTGGTTGGCTAGTACACCTCATGTCTTGATTTTGTAACATTATATTGGGTATTTATAAGGACATAATATTCCACAGTACAATTTGATGGCATTCTTTCCTTCATGGGTCACACGTGCCGGCTGGGCAAAGCTTGGAAGAAGTGGGCAGAGTCCACAGGCCCCAGAGACCCAGGGTGTGAGTGGATAATCCACTAAGGCTTATTACGTGTTTGGGATTAAGAGCTTCAACTACCAGGGACAGTGGAGCATGGTAGAGAGAATATCTACTTATACCTCAGCTGTGCTTTTTATGGCGAATTCTTAAAAACATGGTGGGATCAGGGTCATTACTCCCTGAAGCATTCAGAGAGCCTCTAGGAGAGTAATTAAACTGAAGGGTACATTTGAATCACATGGGAAGCTTGTTCAAAACATAGGTTCCCAACTACTATCCTCTCCAAGGTGGGGCCCTGGAATGGTGAGCAGCTTTGGGTCTCCATGGGATTCTCAGGTGAAAAATGAGGACTTAGACTTTCAGTATTCCTAAACAGGAAGCTGCAATTTTGACCCTCTCCACAGCTGGGTGGGAGGCCATGGTCCCTGCACCACACTTGGAGAAAACTGTAAGTTGACTCTCCTTTTATACTGAAGAGGCCATGAAGGCCCAGAAATGTTCCATAATTTGTCCAAGGCCACTCACTGAGGGGCCCAGGCTCAGAGTCCTGCCTCCTCCTGGCTAGAATGGGAATGACGATGCTCTCCACGTTTGTCATCCAAGATCATGGTGATGACCAAGTGGATGTGTTTAAAAACTTTCACGTGCTCTATAATACAAAGGGGTGTGGCTCTTCCTGGCCAAGGGATGAGGTCATAGGAGCTAAGAAAGGCCATGGCCAAAGTAAGGGGACATCACAACCTTCTACCAGCCCAGCCACTGCAGAAACCCACCGAGGCGGGAGCAGGGCGAGGAGCTCCAGTCTTACCCATGCACGTGTCAGCCCCACCCCAAGGGCCTTGCCCCTATAACTGTGTTCACAGAAGATGGTGGGCTCCAGACACTCCTTTACAGGTGGTATTGGGGCCCTGAGCCTCCTCCAGGGCTCACTTCCCTGCTCTTCTGCTCCCCTTTCTGAGCATTCTGGCTGGGCCAATAGAACAGATTTCTTTGTGAGAAACTAGCTGGCAAATCTGAAGCAATCACATCCATTCATGTGCCTTAATTCCTGGGGTTTTTCAATTGCTATTCCAGCTACTTAGAATGTTCCTTCCCTGAAGTACCTACACAACCCCCTCCTCACCTCCTTCAGGCCATGTCAGCTTTGCAGTGAGATCTGCCCCAACCCCCTGTCCTCCATTTCTGCCTCATTTTCATACAGAACATCAACCCCTGCTCTCCAACCATCTGATGAATAGTGTAGTTTACTTACTTGTGAAACAAGTCAGCTTGTTTCTCTTCTCACTCTTCTGCATCAGCTCCACCAAGTCAGGGATTTAGCTAAATCTCTCAGCATCTGCTATAGACCAGGCATATAGTTGTCAATGAATTGGGCGAGAACTGCACCTACAGTGGCTCACGGTCAGGCAAAGGCACACCGCAGCAGAGGGGACCCCAGCCCTGTGTTCGGATGATACAGGTTTGCAGGGGAGCTGAGGGAAGTTGGGTACCTATGTGAAGGTGTGGCTGAAGCCCTGCTGAACTTGGGACAGGCAAATACATTTCTATTCTGGGTGGCCCTGTCCCTCCCTACTGCTTAGAGTGCATTGTGCTTGGCCAGACCCCTGAGCTCAAGGCAGCCGGGGGTCTCAAGGGCCTTGAACACATCACTTCCCTGTGCCAGCCTTACCTGTCTCATCTGGAAAAAGAAGAAAATATATCCCCCTATGCAGTGGGGGTTATTTTAATAAGACTGTCTCTAGGGGCCTGCAGAGCCCTTCCTCCTTCAGAGGCAGGCCAGATGAAAGGAAGACTTGTTTCGAAGCTCCTCTCTGACAGATCCGATAAAGCTCTCTTGCCTCAGCTGTGTGCCCCCAGGGATGGATCTGTCCTCATTGCTCTTGGCCCAGAAGCGCAGTGGAGCTTTGATGCCCGAAGATGCCCTCTACTGGGCTCCCACAGCCCTCACCTGACAAAGTGCCTTTCACTGCTCCCATTCCCCCTGAACTTTCTGTGTGTTCCCAGAGCAGACCTGGAATGCCTGGAGCCCTCATAGGACTGGGCAGCCGTGCTCAGCAGAGCTGGGGATCTGATGGAGCAGATCGAAGGAGCAGCTGCAGAGGCCCCCCTCTCCCCATGCTGGGGTCCTTGAGGGTGGCACGATCTTCCTTTGACCTCTCCGCCCCAGAGGTTCGTTCCACAGCAGAGACTGTGGGACTTGGCCCTGCAATCTCTAATGTCCTTGTGCCTTGTGTCTTACAGAAATTTAAAGAATATGTGAATGGCAGTAACCTCATCACTAAGCTGCAAGCCAAGCACGACTTACTCAAGCAGACCCTGGGTGAAGGTGAGTCAGGTGGCAGAGGCCTGTGAGGAGGCGCTGTCTTCCCCACTGGGTTCTGTTGTGGCACCTTAAGCTGTTTTAGCTTAAGACACTGGGCACTTGGCAGAATGAGGCCCGGTACTGGGGCCTCCTCCCAGGACTGGGTCGGCTGCTGCAGTCTCCAGTCTGTCGCCCTGGTACTGATGATGAGAGGGCTCCAGTCGGGCTGCAGAAACTAGGGGGCAAACACAAGTCTTGGTCTAGTTGTAGGGGAGGGTCTACGGCACAGTGCTAAAGGAGTCCCCAGTAGGGAGGGGGTAGGACTTCAGAGACACAGGGGTGTGCATTAATGCTTTTCACGAATACATTGCAGTGACTAGGATTCTAGGTCCAAAATAGAAAAATACATATGTGTAAGGTAGGGTTCTATCCTTGAGGGGCCTGAGGACTAGGTTTAAATCTACCCAACAGTTTCCATGGCATATGAGGCCTTAAGTCATTTGACATCTGCCTACTGCCCTGATCTCATCTACCATTTTCTCCTCCTTTACTGTGCTGCAGTGGCACTCAACTCCTCTCTGCCCTTCAAAACTCACTGAGCTTATTCCTGCCCCAGGGCCTTTGCATATACTGTACCCCCTACCTGAAAGCCCTTACCCCAGATCTTTGCTTGGACAGCTCCTCGTCCTTCCGTTGTCAGCACAGGTATCCTGTCTCCAGTGAGACTCTCCTTGCTTCCCAACCTCAAGGAATCACCACCTCTGTCCCACAGTTCTGTCTGACTTTCTTCATCTCATTCATCATCATGTGAAATCATCCTTTGTATTAACTTGTTCACTTGCTTATGGTCTTTGGTCATGCCTCCCCCCACCTGCCCAACTGTATCGTATCTTAAACCAGAGTAGGGACTTCCTTGCTTATTTTGTCCATCACTTTCGTTCCAGTGCCTAGAACAGCGTCTGGCTCATAGTCAGCCCTCAATTAATAGTCACTGAATGAGTATTGAATAGAAAGGTCACCGGAACATGAACTAGGATCTAAGGTCAAGGATGGTTTACAGCAAATGCTGGTGGCCCTGGAACCTGGAGTGAGGCTTGCTCTGAGGGGAGGGGCCTGCTTGGAGCACCACTAGCCCTGCCCCCAGATATATTGTGTTCTGTTTGCAGAGGGCTGTTGGCTGAAGGATGTGCTCCACCAAAAGGAAAGGAAACATGGGGTGCAGGAAATAGGGAGCTAGCACGAGAGAGATGAAGGGAATTTCCAAGGTGATGTTGCCAGTAGATCCCTAGATGACAGCTGGAAGCAGCCCCAGAGGGTGCCCAGGACTTGGGGACAGGAAAAGCGTTACAAAATGAGAGTTGTGCTGGGGCCGAGGCCATTTGCCATCTGCAGCACGTCCTTGCCCTTCACTGGATCACTCTCTTCCCCTTGGGGGTGCATAGCCCTGTGGCCATGCTCTGGTCACGCAAGACCTTCCCAACCCTGTCCACTCAGCAAACTGTCCCCTGGGCCTCCGGATCTGCAGCTGCTTGGCATTTGTGAGCCTCATGCTTTAGAGGAAATGGTGAGAAGTTAAACCATTTCCCGGCCCCAAGGCACTTATAATCTAGCTGGGAGACAACTCATGAATTCATAAACAACTAAATAACAGTAACCTCGTCACCCAGAAAGACTGGGTGAATTTCTGAATGAGCAGCACACACTCTGAGGACTGTGAGTCAGGAGAAGAAGGGATCACCGTGGGCCCAGGAGAGCTGGAAAGGCTTCAAGGAAGATTAATAACTAGGGCTTAGAGGAATAACCAGGGCTTTAAAACTAATACCAATGGAAAATTTTCAATCAGCTTTGTTGGCATGTAACTTGTATGCAATAAGATGCACCCATTTTATGTGTAGAAATCAGTTTTGATGAATATATACACCCAGGTATAACCACCCACATCAAACTATAGAACATCCCGCCCCTCCAGAAGTTCCCTTGTGCCCTTCTGCAGCCAACCCCCTGTCCTCCACCCCACGCAGCCACTGCCCTAATTTCTGTCACCACAGGTCAGTTTGGTGTGTGCCAGCTGGTGGGAGCTGAGGAACTTTGGGGAGTGATGGAAATGTTCTATATCCTGATTTGGGTGGTGGTTATACAAGGGCACGTATTTTTGTCTAAACTCATTGATGTGGGGGGGGGAGGGAAGAGTGAGTTGCAGTAGCCGTTTCTTCATTTCCTCCCACCCCTCTGCATTCTGTGTGACCTGACCCTGCAGTATTGGGCCAGGTGATGGGGGCCATTGAGGAACATGGGTAACCAGAGGGAAACACAGCAGCAAGAATGGAGCCAAGGAGAAGAGACAGAAAGTCCTAGAGAGGAGGCTGGCGAGGTGTGAGGGGGCATCACCCCGACTAGCATAAAAGATAAAGATTGATTGGTGTTTGTGCTCACGGGGCTGAGGGCTCGGGGCTGTTGCTCGTCGTGTTTTTCACGAGTGTGACATGTGAGTTGGTGGCTACTTATATTTTTGAAATCGGACATGCTGGATTTAGAAAACTAGATGTCCTCTGAAAGAATCAGATCCCAGATGAGAAAGTGCATCTCTCCGGCTCGCCCATGGGAGCTCTCAGATGTGCCTTTCATTACTGCCCTGGCCTGCATGGCCTCAATGAAGTGATGATAATAACTTTGGTGGGCATAACTCCTGACCCATTTGGTCTCCACTACGCCTTGCTCTGTGATGGGATTCACCAGTCCTTCTTCTCAGTTTTGAGCTGAATAGCAACAAAAAACTGCAGGGAAGCACGGCTTCAGGAGTGTGAGGGCAGCAGAGAGAAGAAGGGCCGTCCGGAAGTCCCACCGAGGCCGTTTCCCAGGGAGCCAGCAGTGGACACGCCACTGTGCTTCTTCTGGCACCTGGGGCAGGGAAGTTTTAATCATTTGTTTGTTTTAAACTAATTTTGTACTTACAGAAAAGTTGCAAAGGTAGTACAGAGTTCCCGTGTACTCCATGTCCAATTCCCATTACTAACGTCTCACAGTAGCATAGTATATTTGTCACAGTTCATGAATATCGGTGTATCAGTATTAACTAAAGTTAATAAGTTACAGAATTACTGAAAAAACTGAAGTCGAAACCAAATCTTTGTCGTTGTTGTTGTTCACTGCATGATGAAAGTATATCTGGATTCTTAGGGCACTGGGTGAAAGGGGAGAATTTTCAACCAGGAGAATTTGCACCAACTTAGATTGACAAAGTTCTTGCCCATTGAGCAAAGGGAGGCATGGAATTAGCAGGCCAAAAAGAGCTCAGAAAGGCTGATTCATTCTTTTGAGTGTCAGATGGTTCACAGGTACCTGAGCACATGGACCTACATCCTATAGAAAGCTCTGCTAAGAGTGGGACTAGGGTAGGGTCCCACCTGCAGCAGTGGTCTTCTTATTTCATCTGAGACCTACTCTGTATGGGGGGGAGCAATCTGAAAATTGCGAGAACAGGTGAGAAGTGTGGGGCCAAGTGGAATACTTTGACTGAAAAATTACAAGTTTTGTTTTAAATTAAATAAAGTATCATGTCAAATGCCTCAATTTCTCTCAAGTACTCTTTTGCCAGCTTGGCTGAAAAAAAAAAAAAACAAAAGATAAACTAGAGAAAACACAACATCTTTTGGGTCACCTTCACTTACAAGTGAATTTTTTACCATGATTGATCCCGGTACACAAGTAAAACAGCTTCAGTTGGTGTCCCTTGTTATACATTATTTCACTGCCACATCTTGGGAACAGGAGCACCTACCCTTACATACCTCTGGCTGTTGCTGTGTTGTTTTATTGGCCAGAGGATTCTTAGTTTATTATCTCTGAGTCTCAGCTCTTTGACCTTTTTATTGCTCTGGGTAGTCTGTAAACTCCAGGGCTTACACTGAAGATACAGGTGGTCTTGCAATTTACTAAAGCCCCTCACGAATGAATGTGCATTGCTCATAAAAGGGAAGGGGCACAACCTTTTCAGGCCAAGATTTAATAGCCCATTGCAGAGCTCCATGTCAACCAGGACCAGACAGCCTGACCTTCTAGAAAATGACTGAGCCACCAACTATAAAATATTTCTTTTTAATCTCAACAGGTCTCTGAATGTAAAGAACAGAGTATTTTTGATTTCTTATACTTGTTAGAAGTTGAGACAACAGATTCCAAAAGATGTTGGTGATGGGGTTCTTGAGAGCTGGACTGTGGTCTGAGGCTGAGGAGGGGGTGTGAGTGTCCTCCCTGGCAGGGTGGGAGCGGGGAGCAGAGGGGTGGGGGGTATGGAGGGGAAGCCTGCCATGAGGGTGTGCTGACGGACCTTCGACCGCAGCACCCCAACCCTTTTTCCCTGTTTCCCCACTGCTTCCCTCCCTGCCCTGTCTGTCTGTTCATCTGTGCATCCATCTATCCAAAAGCACTGCACTTGGCTGAGACTGAGGACACAGTGTGTACAAGACAGACAAGGCTCCTGCCCTTATGGGGAAAAGAGACCTCAAACAGTAAACAAACTATGAAGTAAAGAATTGTAACTGTGATAAGGGCCATGAATGAACAATTCGGGCTAAGGTGGAGACAATGGTGTGGGGGGGCAGCCATGGGGTGACCTGCTTTAGGTTGGCTGATCAGAGAGGCCTCAAAGGCAGGATGCTGTTTAAGCTGAAATGCGGTTTAAGCTGAGGCTGAAGGAGAAGGTGTCAGCCACATGGAAAACTAGGGAAAGAGTGTGGAGCAGAGGGACCGGCACGTGCAAGGTGGGAAGGAATGTGGTGGGTCAGCATTAAAAGGAGGGCAGGGTGGCGGCTGGCCCGTGGCGAATGCGTGGAGGACTGGGCAGTTTGGAACCAAGAGGAGGTCGAGCAGGAAACTCCTCCTAGGTCCCTTTGTGGGTCAGAGCTGCACAGGCGACTGCTGCTGTGAGGGAACGATGCACTTTATGGTCAGCGCAGGCCACTGGGTCCCCTTTCATGGGTGGCCCCTGGCTCCTACTCAGGGCCTTGGGCCTGCATGAAAATTTACTGCAGATTGGTGTCTGGTACGAGTTTGCTCCAGACCCTGGAGAACACCATCAGATCAAGCAGAACAAATTTGTTTCACCTGACTTTTCTGCTTTTCTGCTTTGGTCTTTGGCTCCAGTTCAACCCACTTCAGTCGCTCTTGTAACTGTTTGTGGCTTTGGTCAGGAATTAAGGAATTGTGTGTTGATTTGTTCTAAGTTCTATTTTCAGGTCTCTATTACTCTCCTCTTCCCCTCGTTTCTCTCCCTAGCCCCATTCAGCACTGTTTTCTATAGAGAAAATAAATGCTTGGTTCTTTTTCTTAAAAAGTCTCTTCTTGCAAATGCTGAATGGGATTCTGGAGCCTGGAGGTGTGCCGTCCGATATGGTGGCCACTGGCCACGTGTGGCTACTGAACACCTGAGGCGTGGCCAGTCTGAATGGAGATGTGTGAAATGAACACCAGATTTCAAAGAGTTACCCCTCCAAAAAATACAAAATATCTTACTAATTTTTATAATGATACATATTGAAATGATATTTTTGATATGTTAGGTTAAACACTATATATTATTAAAATTAATCTCACCTGTTTCATTTTGCCTTTTGTAATGTGGCTTCGAGAAATTACTGCTTGTATTATACTTCCATTGGGCAGCACTGGCCTAGAGGTTTTCTGCTGCCCCGTAAAAGGAATACAGTACTGAACCACGAAGTGTGGAAGAGCTTCAAAAGCATTATGCTAAGTGAAAGAAGCCAAGTGCAAAAGGCCACATATTTTATGGTTCCCTGTGTAGTCAATGTCCAGCATGAGTGGGTAGGAGGAGACAGTGGGTGCATTAGTGGTCTCCAGGGGCTTGATGTGAGAAGTGAGAGTGACTGTAAATTGGTACAAGGGATCTTTCTCATGTGACAGGAATGCTCTAAAACTGCACTGTAGGTGATGGTTGTAAAATTTGAATATTAACTACAAATTATTGAATTTTACATTTCAAGTGGGTGAACTTTGTGGTATATAAATTATGCCTCAGTAAAACTGTTCAGAATAAAAGAGGGGGCAATGGGCATGCGTCTGGAATTCCAGGGAGGTGTGGGATCTGGAGGTAAGATTAGGGAGCCCTCAGTAAGCATCTGAGGTCACCCAGAGAGGCTCTCAGAAAGAGAAGAGGACGAGATCCGGGGTGCATCCTGGGGCATTCCTACAGTCAGAGGGTGGAGGTTGGACAGATGAGGAGGAGACAGCAAGAGAAACTGAGGACTAGTCTACAGGGCAGGAAGGACACTTGGGAAGTGTGGAGCTATGAATATCAAGAGGGGAAGCTTTATAAGAACAAGGGAGTAGTGAACTGAGTTGAATGGTGCCGAGAAGTCAGATAAGAACAGAGAAGACGGATTCAGCTGCACAGCACCATCTCCCTGGTGTAGTGAGGAGAGAAGCCAGCTGCAGTGGGCTGAGGGGGGGAGGACAGGGGCCCTGGACAGCTCCCTTGGGAAGCCCTGCTCTAAAGGAGAGCTGAGAAATGGGAATGTCCTTAGAGGGACAAATGGGGTCAAGGGGAGGTTGAAAAGCTAGGATGTACACATCCAGAACATGTTCACATGCTGAAGGAAATGATCCAGAAGGGAGGAGAATGGTGATGCTAGAGAGAGGGAGATGCTTGCAGGAACAGAGCTCCTGGGAAAGGTAGAGGGAGGGGACCCAGAGCACAGGCCCAGAGAGAAGGCCTGTGCTGTGGTGGAAGTGGGGAGCTTCCTCAGGAGTACCAGGAGGTAGCAGGTGAGAGGGTGGGTGCAGGTATATGGGTGGGTCTCTTGAGGGCAACCCCAACACCCCAACTCACTGATTTCCCTTTTCCACAGAAGGAAGTGAGCAGGTCCTCAGTTGTGAATGACAGAAGCAGGGTGGGAGGTGGGTAGCAGGGTTGAGGAGCAACAAGAAGGTATCTTGTCTGGTACTTTAGGGCCAATCAGTCTTAGCTGACATAAAGCAAAGCAAAGTATGGAGCTTTAGTATGCATAGACAGAATCACCCAGGGTGCTTGTTAAAATGTAGATTCCTGGGTTTTTATCTCAGACATGCTAATTTAGGAGGCCCATGGAAGAGCCCAGAAATCTGCCTTTTTAGCAAAGGTCCCTGGTGATTCTGATACAGTCAGGAGGCTGTAGTTTAAGAATCACTGAAGAAATGTATATGAACAATAAAAAATAAAATGTATGTGGACTTTAGATTTGATAAAAGGTAGTTCTTTCTAACAGACCACAACTCATGCATGATTTGGTTTTTCATTTTACAAATAATTAAGACCAGTTGCTTTTTGTTTTTTGAAAAAAGTATTCTCTGGTTAAAAAACAACAACTAAACATCAACATATACTTTTCTTTCCAGGGGAGAGAGCAGAATGTGGCACAACCAGGTAAGAGCTGGGCATCTTGTTTTCTCTCACCTGTTGTCCTGAGAGGGGGAGTGGGAGGAGGTGGGAGGAGCAGGAGAGAAGCGGAAGGTGGAAGACAGACACTGCTGAGAGCTCAGAAGGGCTGGGCTGCTCTTGGAGTGGGACAGCTCTTCACCCCCATTGCAAGGAAGTGGTGTTTTTACCGCTGCTCTGCTGGGCTGCTGATGAGGGGGCTTTCAGAGCAGCTGTGGGTCAGTGGGTATCTCCCCACCTCGAGTGCACTGTCCATCAGGTGGGACAGTAATATATTGCAGTGGCTGAGGGCAACCAGTAGAGTCCAGAAGCTGTGGGGTAGCTGTCGACCTGTCTTCCCATCTGTTACATGGCTGCTGAGCAAACTGCCCAGCTGAGGTGCGGGGCCCAGCCCAGGGTCCCCATTTGCTAAGGCTTTGGATTTGGCTGAAATTGCACATATCTGGGCACATGCATGCGCATACCCATGTAAGCGTGCACAGACGCCCCTAATGCCCGCGCCCTGGCTTTGGACCTCACGTGCACCTGGATGGGGAGCCCCTTGTTGGGAAAATAACAAACGGGCAACTTCTGCTTTCTCTCCAGCTTGCTCAGCGTTACCCTTTGTGCCTTCCCCTGAGTAGACCAGAGCCAGTGAACACTTTCCACTTGGTAGCTGGTAGCTGACGTTTCAGCACCTGGACCCTTCCTCCACTTTCACAGAGTGCAGACCCACACGCAGCCCTGTCATCATCCAGGTCGTTCCTTAGAGTCCGTTTCTTTCCGAGTTCCCAGCAGTAGCTATCCTGCTGCCGAACACAATTTTGGCCATGACTTGTCCAGCTGTCTTTTGTCTCATTCTGGGCCTGGCGACCTGATGACATCCTTTCCCAGAAAATTCTTCCCCATGACCCAGAATCCTGGAAAGCTGTCATACTTGGTAAGAGGGAAGATGAACCCTCAACTCTCTGCTCATCTGGGAGGGAGTTGGCTGGGAAGAGCCTTGGAAAACTCTGGGGTTTTCAGTTTGCCGGGTCCAGGATGGTGGAGGCTGGAGGCTCTCCAGAAGCTCAGCCCGTGCAGCTGTTCCCCTGGGCCCCACACATCTAGGAACACCAGGATAATTCATAGTGCCCCGCGAGAAAGAAGCTCTGGCACAGGGGCGACAGATATGCACAGTCACTTTCTAAGAACCTTTTACAAACAAACAAACAAATTGTTTGTTTGCTTATTCTGGCAAGAGGACATTATCATAGTCCCCAAACAATAGAAGCCACATTTTACACCCAAATTCGTAAATGGTGAAACAAATGGGGGATGAATTGAGCTGTCCCTCACTCCCTCTGAATTCCTAAAATGTACATGGGGGGAGATTGTTCCAGCAGGTTGCAGGAGAGAGCTGTAATCAATCCTTGCCCAGGTCCCAGGGTCTACCTCAGAGAAAAGTTGAGGTGTTTGTTTTTTTTTAATGAAGCCCACTGAGATATTGTCTCCCACACCTAGGCCACACCTGGGGCCTGGGAAGTCAGAGCCAGGATTGCCAGACCTCCCACTTAGATGCACTACACTAAACTGAACACCCAGTCATCTGCACTCTGACCTTTGGCCACAGTCAAATGCAACTTTGTTAGTAAACTAAAAGTTTCCCTTTACTTCCACAATTTTTTTAACATGTTATACAATGAATTGTCCACTTGGTAATGGTTTCTAAGTTAATCTGAAAGGCCCTGGGTGAGGTGTTTCTATACTGTGCCTCTCTGTATCTTCCACATTTCAGTGGAAGTTCAGTGCCATTGTGGATGGTCATTTGTGCAGGTCCTCTCAGCCAAGTCGCTGTTGTCCTTGTGTCCATCTAGGACCAGTTTGTGTACAAGGCTGCAACACGTGATGTTTTTCTCACACTTAAGACCTTACCTTCTAATAGCCCAAATTTGTAATAACCCTGCAATTTAGGCTGAACAGACACAACAGTGCACTCGAAAAGTGTATGGTAAATGTCAAAGCCAGATAAGGTTTGACTATGGTTATTCAAACTTAAGACTGGCTTTCCTAACCCAGGTTGATTTGTCCCTGTGGTCTAGATTAGAGAAGAAATCACTGGAGATTTCTGTCCAAACAAATGCAACCCAGTGCACCCACGCGCAGCCTCCCAGAGCCTGGCCACCAGTGAACTACAATATTGCTGCCATTTTGGATGTTGACACCCATGTGTATTGGGTTTTCTAGGGGACAATCTAGTCGCTGTCCTTCAGTCACAGAGTAATTTGAGGCCAAGTCCTGTGTTGCCAACATTTGTTTATTTTCATCTTGGTTGAAAGGCAGAAAGGGGACATTGGTCTCTGGTTTCTCTTCCTTCCTCTCTGTGGCTTTCTCCGTTCCTGTTTTCCCTGCCTCTCTCTCTTTCTTTCTTTCTTTCCTTTTCGCTCTGCAACTCAGCAGCAGAAGAGATGGAAGGCTTAGGCTGCCCCACTTTCCTTGGCTGAGCTGCCCCCCTGCTCCCCACTTTGTGCCCCACCCAGCATTTCAGTAAGTCGGTATCTATTTGGTGTCATGCAAAGTTGGGATAGCTATGTTTCCTTGTCAGAGATTCCAGGGTTTCCTTGTCAGAGGTTCCAGGCGGTGCACAGAGCACCACACAAAGAAAGAAACCCCAGTGTGATTCCAATAGCCTTTTGCTTTCTGGATTGGGTAGAAGAAGTGGGGGAAAGTATCCTATTTTCCCTTTATTCCATTTTGTAAACTCAGAAGAAAAAAATCCTTAGGAGGTATTTTCAGGAAATCCAGTAGCTGGGCACCAGGACTTTTTGGTACTCGGTGTCCAACACCTGTATTAAGAGTCTCTACTCCTGTTGGCCATGGGAGTTTAATACATGATTTAATGCTACTGCTGGATGTTCTGTGATAAAATCAATTCCCCACTTTACATTCATACCTGAACCTGGAGTAGAAAGAGCTGAACTCTATTCATTCCCATGACCTTGGGCAAGTGTCTTAATCTCTCATCAGCTTATTTGCCTTACGTCTAAAGTGGGTCTAATAATTCTTGCCTAACTCCCAGGGTATTGTGAGGGTGTCGTACCATGTGAGATAAGGAGCTGATCTGAGAATGTTCAAAAACAGAAACCCCAAACACTGTGAGGACAAGGGAGCAAAGTTGCTATCTTAAGTTATTCCTAATTTATAAGACTTGAAACCTATGGCCCCATGTCAAATTTTTTGGCAATTTCTTTTAGAATTTGGAAATATAAGAGCAGATTTATTGTGAGAAATACCAGCGCCATATACCCACATCCTCAAAAAATAAGTAACTTACACAAAAAAAATGACATGGACTTAGCTAACCGAATTGACAAAAGATCCAAGATGGGCTCGAAATATTCTTGCCTGTTGTTTCATTTCAAATTTTTGGTCTGTGCTGTTATTTTGGTTCCAGTGTTTGGGTGGCATGATATTTGGATTCAACTATGTCTTTGCCCATGCATGTCCTGGAGCTAGCAGCATTTGCTCAATACTCAAACACCGAGGAGAAGCTGGTTAGAGCTTCCAGGATGGCTGGGCTCTTGAGGAGACATGCACAAGGCCAGTGAGCAGAGGCAGCATGGCTCTCATACCCCTTGATTGGCTCCAAAACCCCTAAGACCCCTTGCGCATTTACAGAACTCAGTCGAGACCTGGGGACCATTATCTGTGCCTGGCTGGGCCCAGATGTGCTGCTTCCCAAATTGTGAACCAAGCCATTTGAAAATGAATGGCTTCTTTTGGTTAGGGGCACTCCTCCTAGCCTCAGAGCCCTTTGCCCTGGAAGGCTGGCAGCATTGAGTCAGGCCAACTTGGGCGACGAAAGATGAGCAAATAAGCCAACACAGGCCTATGCATGGTGAGCAACTCTGGAAACTGGTCCAGTGCTTGTGGCTGTTTCACTGTTCTGAGGAACTGTGGTGCAGTTTCCCCTCCCTGTGGCCAAGAGTGGAGCACAGGGAATGGAGATCCTAAAGCAAAGCAAGACACTTTCAACCTGACCCCATGGGTCCTCCGCTGGCAAGGGTTAATGAGAGGGCTGAGTCTTTGGCTGGAAATGGAGTAGTGCCCTGAGGCTCTGTGGCCGGCTCAGTGGGAAAAATTTTGGATTTGCAGCCAAAGAGGCCTGAGTTTAGGGCTTGGCTCTGCCAGTTCCCCTTTCTAGGTCTCAATTTTTGCTTCTTTAAAATAAGGCCACACATACAGGACTGAGCTGATGTTAAATGTGGTAATGGATCTGAAAGTGCTTTAATCAAAGTGTACTTGACTAAAGAACAGGATATAGTCGTCATCCTGGGTCACCCCAGGACCCCAAAGAAGCTGCAGCCTCCCTCTTGGCATCAGTTTCTTTATCTCTAAAATGAGAATAGTAATTGCCTGGCTCTCAGATCAATGACATAAAGATTAGTCAAGTGCATTTGAAATGCCAAGAGGCATTAGGAAGATCAGTGCCCTGGTACATTGGGAGTTGGCACTTGGTGATAAATTTAAGCCAAAATAATGAAAATTAACCCTTCCAATCATCTTTGGAAGTCTCTTGCTTTCTCAGGCTACAGATTACATCTGTCTCCCCTGATTCCCCCTCCATCTGGTCAGCTTTGCAGGATGACAGCCTCTGATTGGAGAGTCAGTGGTCCCCTGGACATGTACTGTGTCCCTGCTGTGATTTAGAATGCATTTGCGTTATACGAGTTTTGCTGCTGCCTAACATTGTGGGTAAAGTAAGAGCCCCCCGACATCCAAAGGCCTTCAGATGGAGCGTTGGACAGCCATGTGCTGGGGGTTCAGGGGCTCCCCTTTGCATTTTGTGTTCTCCCATCATGGGTTTTAAGAGTGTCTTTCCCAGTTGTATGTTTACATTGGTTGCTTTCTTGATTTCTTTTGTTCCATTTTCCCCTAGGCCCCCCTGTCTTCCCCCTAAACCACAGAAAATGAGGAGACCTAGGCCTCTCTCAGTGTGTAGCCATAAACTATTTAACGGCTGTATGGAAACGTTCATTAAGGTACTTGTTGGGGAGCCGCAGAGTCCGCGAATGCGCCCAATGTAATGGCAGCCTTTCTCCACCTCCTCCCCTTGGCCAGCAGCCCTGCCCCTACCTATGGGGACTTTCCATCTGTACCCTTGGCCAGGCCCTATGGCGAACTGGTTCCTCCCTGAAGCCGGTACCTTAGCTTTGGTGAGGGCTTCTAATCAGAGCTGCCTTTGTCTCTGACCAGTTGCTCCTAAGTGCCTTCCTGTGATTCTCAGGGGTAAGATCATGAAGAAACCCAGTGAAGTCTGAGTGGGGCTGAGATGCCAGCCCTGCCTTGCTGCTTCAGGAACTGTGGCCCTCCTAGCCAAAGGGACAGTCAGAGAAACCCCCTACCTCACTTCACAGCCACATCTTCCAAGAGGAGCTTGGTTGGAAGGAACACAAAGAAAGTCCCTGTAGGCAACAGTGTGATTTTTTTTTTAAGTTAAGAATATACCAGCAAAGGAAACATAAGTTTGTACGACAGGACACCCTTCTACCTAGTTTTGCTTCTTGTTAGGTGGTTTGGGAGAAGGGAGAAAAACTGAGACAGTCCCTATAGAAGTCCTGTTTGACCCTTTACACCTTAAAAACAAAAGTGTTTCAGCTAGGTGAGTTTTCTTTTCTTGCTTCTTGAATGCAAAGGGTACAGGATCAAGCCATCCCAGATGGAATGACACAGGCAAATGCAGATGGTGATGGAGTTGGAAAGGGCAGCAGGTTGGGGAGTGACTGAGCAAGGATGGGTGCATTCTTAACATCGGTCAGGGGAGCAAGAGAGAAGGCCCCTGCCAGAGCTCCCCACCATCCAATGAAGATGCTTTCTGCAGAAAAGAAGACTGGTGTCGCTTGGGGGAAATAAAGGCTCCTGGGCTTTGCTGCCAGTTTTGGAGTAGTAGTCATAGTTCCCTGCCCTGCCCTCTCTCCTCCGTCCTCAGGGTACACACAGGACTTGCAGAGGGGGTGGGGGTGGGCAGCGTGCCTGGATCTCAGGCCTGTTTCTGCCTGTGGGCTGAGTTCTGGGGAGAGGGCAGTGGGGCACAAGTTGAGGCTGCCCGAGTTGGAAACAGCGGGGGCTGCTTCAGGTTACCTCAGAGGAGTGAGGCATGGAGGGTCCCAAATGGTGGGGTGCTGCTGGGTGAATCAGGAAAGAGGTGCTATGTAGAGGTGTCCTTGAGTGAGCACTTTTCCGTCCCATGGGCTACAGGAACATGAGGCTGTGTCAAAGGGTCCTTCTTTCTTCAGCCTTCCTCCTCTCTCTGCCAAGACTTCATGCTCGACCTTGGAAAAGCCACTCTCCATAACCGAGCAGGGCCTGAAAGGCGTGTAAGCTGTCCTTCCCGACCTCAAGGAGCTTATAGTGTCAGTGAGGAGGACTGCAACACGGAAAGCGGGAAGTGTGAGGTGATTCAGACGAGCGCTTGGTGAATTATCCCCGAGGAAACACATTGTGTGTGAGCTTAAAGAAGGAGAGCTATGACCACTAGGGCATAGGAGGCTTGGGGTTGGGGGCAGGGAGGGTGGCGCTACAGGGAAAATAGGAATAAAGCAGAGAGGAGTAGGGCAGAGTCATCCCTGAAAGGAGGAAGAAAATGAAGGCTCAGAGATAGGACGCCTTCTCTAATCTGCTCAGCTCTTTGGAAATCGGTGATCAGTGAGAACAAATGGAAGGGGCTAACTCCTACCTGAAAGGATTGAAAAATTAGGTGTTCTAAGGAAACAATCTCTTAGCAGACAGCTCCTACATTACATGAGTGACTGTCTAGTCATCTGACTTCATTCCTCCTGACAAACACATGAGAACTCCTGCAACCATATGGCAGTTTGCCCCTCGGAGGTAATCACCGTGGGCAGCTACGTTCTTATTCCACAAACATACTGTCGCCGTTGCTTCAGTTAGCCAGTCTTCCTTAGAGCTTGTAGCATGGCCTTTGTCAGTGGTGCCACACTTTGTGTTAGAATGAGCACCCTGGTCCTTCAAAGCTCAGCTTTGCAGTGCGCTGGAGGTACAGAATGGCAAGAGGCACGTGTTGGACGGGGCTGGTGGACCGGCTCTGAAAGGAGCCCACAGTGAGGGACACCCCAGAGCACCGGGCTATGGCTCATTGTTGGAATAAGTGCATGGCCTCCTCAGGGGACTGTGTGACTGAAAACGAAAGAGGTATGTTTGTTAACTGAGTGCATTTCTGCGAGTTACACTGGGCTTACGCCACATACCTTCTGTGCAGTTCAGCAAACTTCTGCACACCTACTGTGAGCTGGCAGTATGTAGACAAGTTTGTGTGCACCATGGTCTTACTCTCAAGGATTATTAACGTCCAGAAAATGAAAAGGCAGTATAATATGGTCAATTCTTCAGCCTCTGTGAAAAGAATTTTATTTTTTCTTATGATTCACAAGCTATCTGGAAGAACATTCTGCATGGACTTAGAATCTCCTGCTTGGAAATGCCAAACCTGTAAAGGTTTTCCAGTAAAATCACGTCACTGGGACTCCATGATTAGAGGAACAAGGAAGCATCCCCAAGTTAAGAAGGACAGATAAATGCATTGGAGTTATGTAATAGATTTCTAGGGACCTACCTGAATTGACCCTTTTTAAAATCCTTGACTTTTTTCTCCTCTCAGATAGAAACCCAATTTTTATTATAAATTTTGAAGCCTAGGAAGTCTGCTCCTGGGCAGAGGGGGAGTCCTCACCTTCTCTCTATAAAATAAGAATAGTAATTACCTACCTGTTGAGTGTGTGATACTGTCAGCACCAATGAGCTGAGAGACACCATGTTTCTAGGACACTGCCTGGCACGTAGTAAGCTCTGCGGAAGTGTTAGCTCTTAGTGTTGCCATTAGCTGTTAGGAGATTGCTCATAGAGCTCTGTCGGACCAGGCTGCTGGCTTAGTCCTAGGATTCAGATAGGTTTGGCTAATACATGATAGTTCCAGTTTTCGAGATGCTGGCAACTAGACAGATAACACCACCTTGAAGGTGCACGTCCTCCAGTTTCCCAGTTCAGCCTCCTCAGAAGCCTGGAAGAGACACAGCACCCTGCCTGCTGCACTACAGGAAGAAAGAACAGGTAGTGCTCCCCTGGAAATCGGTGGCTTCAGTGACTTCAGTGAAAGCAAAGGCAATATCCTGAAGGTGTTCTCACTCTCTGCTGCTCTCCCTCCCCCAGGCCTTTCTCAGCTTCTGGGTTCCCTGAGGTGTTCTCAGCGCTAGTGTGAGGGTCCAGGGTGGGAAGGAGAGAAAAGCCGTTTGGAAACCCAGGAGAAACTCCCCAGGCTGTTTGGTAGGAAAGCCTGGGAAACTGTTTGGAATTTGGAATCAGGCAGAACCCTTGGGGGCCTACCCAGAGGGCACGTGATAAACATGGTAAAATTAGCTTTTCACCAAGAGTGAGTTTCCTGAGCTGGATTCAAGGGACAGTGTTGCAGAAGACACAGGAAGGCATGCGTCTCTCCTGTGGGTAGCTGGGGTCACATCAAGGGGTCTTAGGTGGGCTCCTGCCCACTGGTGAGTGAAGAGCCCCTGCATTGAGGAGAAGCCAGTATGCGATGAGGAAAGTGTCCAGTGCACACCGCGCCTGCACTTTGACAAGGACTCAAAGAGGCCCCTACGTCACCTGGCATCCAAGGCAGCCACACTGGAAGGCTGGCTAGGGCAGGGTCCAGACCCCCCACGGGGCCCTGGGTCTCGGGGAATCCCTCCCGGGCAGGCTGGCCAGCAGTCTCCCCAGGACCCTTGCTGGCTGCCATTGCATTTTGGCGTTCACGGACTCTGAAGGATCTGCTACTCTAACTGATCTTACTCCTGCATAATCTTCTCTTTTTTTCCTGCTCTGCTGCCTGTTTATTTTTTGTTATCAGAGGAAGAAGAAATGCTCGAACCAGGAACCAGGTATTTACTAGAAAGGTCCGTTAGCCCCATTCAGCTGGATGAAACCTGTCTTTAATATTGACTTCTAGAACAGGGCCCACCTTGCCCGTTGCCTGTGGGTCTGTTTTATTATTCTCTCCCTGACCATAGTTAATCAAGGAAAGAATTCACAGGTGGGGTGTGGCGGAGCCACAAAAGCCCCCAAATGCCCTTTACAAAAGCACATTGCGTATGCCTTATTGTTTCCTCACCTTCTGAGGAGCCTCATGATTTAGTGTGACCCCCTTTAAAGAAAGTTTTAAGAATATTTTATGCTCTTTAGTGATCTGACATAGCAGAAAGGCCAACCAATTGCAGAATCCAAAAGAATATTATCCCTTGCCCAGCCCTTGTTGGCCATGGGCCAGCCCAGGAAGATGTAGTTGAAAATACATTCACACGCCAGATGCCTGTGCTCAGAACTGCATCTTATTCAGCCAATTTGACTAAGGTTGGCCACTCAGTGGTCGAGAGCTGACATAAGCTGTTTCTAGAACCTTTTTAAATAACGTGTTTACTATTTAGCAAAGTATCTGGATGCTTAGGGTGTAACATACTGAATAGAACTGGTCTTCCCTTCCCAGAGCTCAGAAGGACCCCTAGGGTCAGCTTTGCTTCTTGCATAGCATGCTCTTCCTAATTCTGGCATCAGGACTGTGGTCCTGGGAGGAGGCCTCGATCTGCTTTTCTGTCCCTGAGTGCTGGGAGAACAGGGTTGAGTGGGGCAATGTGGAGCGGGAGGCAGACTTCACCCCTCTGTGTAGTGGGTCCTCCTCCTTCCCAACCACCTGTCAGGCCTCCTGAACCCTGATTCTTTCCCAGCTAAATAAGAAGACAGAGCATTTCTTTAAAGTTATCATAGCTATGCCTTTTTCTACACATCACTGAAGACTTTGTATTTTAACTGTTTGTGGAGACTTTAGGATTAGCAGTTCCTTGCTTGTTTTCCTACTAATCTGATGGTACTAATATTCTGGCTTGAGTTTATAATCTGTGTTTGTAATGTCTGTTTCCTTGTGGTGGTTGCCGAGCCCAATAAAACTCACATTTTTTTTCTTAAGGATTCGGGACAAGCTATACCACTTGTAGTTGAGAGCTGCATCCGATACATCAATTTATACGGTAAGCTCAATCGTGGGGCAGTGTTTTCAGCTCTCTCCAGAACAGGTGCCAGGCTGTGCTCATAGGGAACGAGATTCTGACTCATCTGGAAGACTTCCTGTCACTGCTGCTCTTCTGAATGCTATCTTTTGAGCCTTGTGTGTTGGGGGAAGGAGAGCAGTGGTTAGAAGACTCAGGAACTAGGAAAGTGGAGGCACAGGGAGGGCATGGACGGGGGCACAATTTTAGCTCCTTTCTCACTCCCACCCAACCCAGAGCTCTGCTTTGAGCCCTGAATGCAGTTGGCCAATCAGTTAATGCTGTGAGTTTGTAGTAAGCTCCATGAAGGAAATGTAGTAGCTGGGATTTGCTAGCCATGGTATCCCCAGCACTTAACTTGTACTTCCATCAACTCATGTACTTATTCCTCCAAAAGCATTTTTTCGGAGTGCATAGCAGGCACTGTTTGAATGGTGGGAATACAGGCTTGTGCAAGATACTAGTAAGTTGCCAGCCATAGGTAGTTTATATTACCAATTGGAAGGGCAAGGAAATAAAAAAGCAGAGAAATAATAGTGCAATGTCAGGTATTGATATTGCCAAAAAACTAATGCAGAGGGAATAGAGAGTGGCTGGAGGGGGCAGGGCTGTTTGGTGAAGGTGGTAAGGAGAGACCTCTCCAGGGGCTGATTAAGACTCCAGGGCCCTTTAAGAGTCTAGCGAGTAGAGGGAGCCAGCCATGCAGCCCAGGTGGAGAGAAGGGCAAGTGTAAAGGCCTCATATGGGACCAAGGCCAGTGTGACGACAAGAATGGGCCAGTGACACAGTGCAGAAGGTCAATATTGGTTAATGAAAGAAATAAGCGTCTACTGAGCACATGATATGTACAAACCAAACTTTGATGAAAGCCCACCTTTTAAGAGTAAACATTTTACTAAATTATAACGTGGAGAGTTTGTTTTATATAGACAAACCGAATCCCAGGGCAAGGATCAGAGTCTCCCCGACTACTGCCCATTTCAGAGAAGGGAGGCCCTTCAATTCCCTCAGTCCTAGAGGATGCTGATATGTTGTTACTGTTAGGTCAGGTGTCAGGGTCTCCTTTTTTCTGTCCTTGTAAAATTTAAGAAAATGAGATCATTTCTCTTTAACAGTGTAATCTCTCCTACATTCCTCAATCACAAGTGAGCATGTTCTTTAGACTCCAGCTTTTCTTGAAGGGAGAAAATTCCTGTGTCGGGGGAAGGCAGGGCGAGGCAGTGGGATTGATCCTTCTTGTTCAAAACCTCCATGGCCATTCCTCTCAGATGGCATTTGTGCTCTCGGGTGAAGGTCCTTGGTGTCAGTGCGGCTGGTAAACTTGGTAGCAGCATGCACTGACCAGTCATTTGCCTGAGCCGACTTATTAACTTGGAAGGTATCCACAGATCCAGTCTTGATATAAACTTCTTATGGCCTTTTCCTCCAAGTCCAGACAAGAGACACAGACATACGAAGCCGGATGTGTCTGAGTATTTTGGTTCAGGCATAGTTTATTGCAAAGGCCATTTTGGGCTTCTGCCAGGAGGCCTTCATTGAGAATGACTGTCTGATAAAGGGAGAAATAGACGAGCAATGACATGAGTCATCAGGTTCCCACTGGTCTGATAGCCGAAGGCCTCATGGCATTTTTCTCTTTCTTTATTTTTCCCTATAGGACTCCAGCAGCAAGGGATCTTCAGAGTGCCGGGATCTCAGGTCGAGGTCAATGACATCAAAAATTCCTTTGAGAGAGGTAGGTGCAGAGTGACCATTGCAAGCTTGTGGCCAGAGGGATCCAGGGTGGGGCTAGCACATGCCTTAGAGCCAGTGGTGTGCTGGGCTGGCTCGTATCTACATCTCTTTCCAGCTTTGCCTTCAGCGACTTCACCTTGGTAGCTTGAAATCAGCCATGGTGGGAGTATTTACATTGCAGAAATTGGTGAATGCTGAGATCTTTTGTTTTTCTTTTTTCCTTCCAATGAGCTAGCTATTAAACACTGACCAGCACACATGGGTGGCTCTGGCAGGCTGTGCGGTGTTTGCTAGGATACAGGGCTTTGTGAAGCACTCTGGACTGATTATGCGAGTCTGAAAAGGCTGATGTGTTTTAGAAAAGTTGGAAGAATATTGATAATACTGAGTGGCTTTCTGAATATCCTAATTCTTAATTTTCTATGTAGTGCTTTTGGCAAAGCTGTACGCTGGGAGGAAGAGACCACCCCCAGTGAGGTCACCTAGTTCTCACTTTGGTTAACCAAGGGTAGAGAAGCTTATTAGAAACAAAGTGACCACTAGAATAGGAGCACAAATGGCTTATTTGGTACAGCCTCCCTTGGCCTCAGAATCCCTGATGGGGACAGACAGATGGCCAGTGACAGTGTCCATGCAAAGTAAGGACTCCCTGGTCTTCATACACCTCTGCCTTTATACTAGGTGCTTATCTTGCATCCTAAATAATATCTTTGCTTCCAGTTTACCAGCATTTTGGAAGGATAACATCTCCACAGTCTACTCCTTTTAACTCTCATTTATTACTTTTTTCTCTGAATGATTTTGATATTAAGTTTGGTCTGAGGACCCCAATCCCAAACTCATTTCCCTGCAGTAGATCATGTCCCAGTTTACAAAGAACTTTTTCACCCATTGTTCTAACAGCCTTGGGATGTATATGGTTTGTCCCTGTTGGCTGTGCTCTGAACAGGCCTCCCCCGGGGGTTCCAGCTGTAGAATTCTCCCCAGTTATTATGGGGATTCTCCTGAAAGGGCTGCCTCCTCTGCACACTTGCCCCCTCCCTAACCTCCCAGTTCCATCCTGAGGTCTAGCTCAGGGTGGAGGAAGCATTCTGTCAGCCCCAGGTGGTCACCACCACAACCCCCAGCACAGACCTCTGAGGCCCTAGGCACTCCGATTTGGAGCCAGGTATAGAGAGAGGATTTGAGTGGATAGGGCACTCAGTGGCCTCCTAGGGCCCAGGGGAGCTTACGTTCTGGAGTGCATTCCAGGATCTTGGGCACTCAGAACCAGAAAACCCCAGAATTCCCCTGTTCCAGACTCCTACTCTTTATTTATCCATTCATTCATCAACTCAACCAGCATGCCCTGAGCCCTACCCTGCACTAGGTAATAGACCAGGGCCTGAAAATAAAATAGGAACAAAAAGACAGTCACTGCTAGAGGGGGAGAGCACAGGCAGCAGGATCAGTGCAATGATGGAGTAAGCACTGGGTAGCAGGCCCTGCTTGGACGGAGCTTAGAGAAATAGTAAAGCCCAGGAAAGTTTCCTGGGAAAGGAAATGTCTAAGCTGAGCTTAAAGAGTAAGAGCTAGGGAAAGGGGATTCCACACCCAGGGAAGAGCATGTACAAAGGCCATAAAGGTAGAAGTATCTCCCTGATGGAAGTGTCATTCATTATTCCCTGAGCTTCTCTTGACAACACTGAATGGCCCAATCTAGAGCTTTGTTTCTGCATTTCCCCAGCTCCTTAGCACCCCTGCTGCCCTGCATTCATTGTAAATGAATGGAGACATGGCAGGAACCTTTGCTGGTCCCATCCTCCAGGGCTCATCCCATTATACAGAATTCCTTGAGCCTCACATGGGTGAACTCACTGCATGGTGCCTCCAGACTGGCGAGCACTTCAGCCTGGCATTTTCCTGATTCCCTTTGTCCTGTAAGTAACCTTGTTCCAGGCAACCAGGCCCTAACCCTGCCCCAGAAGCGCTGCTTTCTTTCTTGAATGTGATCTTCTAAGTTTAGCACCTTCTGTCACTTGCTTGGGTGCCTTGCAGGGGTGATATGAAATTTAAAAGAATTCTCTCCTTCTAACAAGCCTTAGACCACCTCCTAACAAGCCTTAGACTTTAGATCTCTGCTGGGCAGAGATCACCTGACACAAATCTCAGCTGCAAAAACATATTTTCTGCTTTTTCTTTGCATCACGTATACAGTTGGCTCCTTTCCCTCTCCCCACCATTCGCAAGTGAGTCTCATTCTCTCAGCAGCCGGTTCCTTCTGCTCCACCTGAGCCTACAATGAAGCATGGCTTAATTTAGAGGGATTGTTCCTGGTATGTCTCTTTTAAGAAAAATCATTCCTGGCTTCCTGGGGCTGGCTAGTGCCCAGATTTCTCATTTACTCTTTTCTGTTTCTTGACATACACCAACCAACTGTCCTGGCTTATGCTCCTTGCCCCTCTGGTCCTTGGGTTTGCCTCCTCCTGCCTCTCCTGAAAACCCACTGTGTTTCTCCACATCTCCTCCACTTTTCCCCCACCCCCACCCACCACCACACCACTACCACCAACCAGGTGACCAGAGCTTGCACAGGGCTCAGCATTTCTCTCCTTGCCCACCCCTCACATCCCTCATGCTATAACATGTGACAGAACTTTCTCTCCAAAACTGGTACAGTGTGTGTTTTTCCTTTCTTTCTGTTGTATTTTTTTAAATTCAAATCCCAAATCCCTCTGCAGGACACCTGACCTTTACTTATTGTTCAGATAGTTGGGTCTTTCTCCTACCTTAGCACCCTTCTTTCTCTGGAGCAGAAGTTCTTACCTATGTTTCTTGCAAGACTGTTGAAAGAAGCACCTGTCTCTTTTCCTTAATCTTCTGGAAAGCCATTCTTTGCTTATTCTAAACCCACTTTCTATTTCTTCTGACATGAGTCAACCAGGGTTTTAGTTGGGATTATTATTATTGCTGTCAATAGATCTTAAACGCACTCCTCAAGTTTTGAGATCTTGTAATCTGGTGAAATGAAGGAGGAAACATTGGGAAAAGGCAGGACTCAGCAGCTGTGCCTTGGAGAGAGCTGTGGCTTGCTGGTACCTCCCAGGCCAGATTTCCACCTCTGTTTCCCTTCACAAACCAATCCATGTCCTCTTTGTGCGTCAAGATGAGGGCACTGCCAGTGGTCTCTCCTATGCAAAGGGCGGCTGGAAAGGGACCCACTGACCCTTTCTCCCTGCACAGACCATGGCAGGGTTTGGAATTGGGGCTAAAGTCATAGCCTCTAGGATATGACACATTCTAGCCTCAACTTGGTCCCTCTGAAACTATTTCTTGCCTCAGGAGGAGGGGTGTGACCCAGAGACATGGGGGGAACTGTTATGTTGAGGAGCCTCAGGAGGGGCTTGCATGCACCTGTGGCCACAGAGAACTGCCCGCGTGAGAAATACTACCTGCATGCTTCCTGCCATGCCCCGTCCAGCAGCAAGTTCCCCTGGAGCCTTAAACACACACTGTCTGTTCACATCTGCCCTGGGCACAGCCCTTAAAGTCTTCGGCAATGCCCGGTGACCTGGCTGAAAGTCAGCTGTAGGCAAGGCCATCCGGTAGCAATTCTAGCTCTCCCAGAACATCTGCTGGCAAGGTATGAACACAGCTTTCTCTCAACTTCCCTGGCTTTTACTCTAATTCTCCTTCTGGAGGAAGCCATCATTCACATACACCATCCTGTTCATCTTGAGCTCTGGAATTCCATTCGCTTCTAGAGCCAAAATTGACTAGTCTTGCAGAGAGCCAAAGGCCTAAGGTAGGAGGAAGGAATGTTACAGACTGAGTATCTTCTGAGAGGCAGAGCAAGAGTGAGTGGTGTGTGATATCAATATGTTAATCATGTTAACAAGGAGAGCTAATATGGAGACCAAAATCTGTGTACTTTTGCATCATGACCCCCCCCCCCACAAGAGTAATGTGTGGTAACAATAAGGAAACGGCTTAACATAATGCAGAGTTTAGAACTCGTACGGTCCTTCAGAGGGGCCTCAAGGGCTGCTGCTGGGGTAGAGAGGGAGGTTGAGAGGATCGGCCTTGGATCTCTCCCCCTAGTTCAACTAAGACAGCTTTCTTCTATATGTGGAAAGAAAAAAAAAGGTTGGGATTCTGCTGCAGAGGAAGGAGGGAAGGAGGAGTGGGAGGGGGAAGGGAGGAAGACAGACAAGAGGCAGGCGAACAGGCAGACAGAATTGAAAAGGCAGAAGGAGGACCATCTCCCAGGCATTTGCAAGAGCTGGGAGCTGCCTGTTCTATTTCTGACCACACGAATGTGGGCAAGTTGTTGCTCTTGTCGGGGCCTCAGCTTTCCCTTCGAGAGAAGGGCGGCGCTGGAACCGCGCCTCCTTGGTGCTGCTGTGAGGATCCTGGGAGAGCATGCATGTGAATGTGCTATAGCAGTGCAGGCCGTGATTTTTTAATGTTTCCTCTCCTCCTTCTCCATGAAAAAGTCTTGTCAGGGAAGCATTCTCGCTCTTCCTGCGGGACATCTGAGAGACCAGCCTGCGCAACACCCGTGTCTGGCTGCCGCTCACGGTTGTTCAGGTTGGCACTGCGCAAGGGTGCTCCGCCCAGAGGGCAGTGGGGGGACTTGGGCTCAGGCTCTGTATGCCACAGCCCTAGTTCGGGAGAGAAAGGGGCTTTCTCTGATTTGAGCTGCAGCCCTGGCTCGCATTCTCCTCATTCTCCTCCTACGGAGGCAGGGTGAAGAGAGCTAAGTGTGAATTTCCAGCTGTGCTCTTCACTGCTTGCCAGTCCCCGGGTGCTCCTGGCTGTTCTGGGAGGAGGAGGAGAAGGCCCTTGTGCAGGCTTCTCTCAGCACCTCCAGGGAGGGGGCACGTTGCGCGTTGCTTCCTCTCGCCTCCCCTGTGGAAGCTCTTCTGGGGGTGAACCAGCTCAGCAGCCGCAGTTAAAAACAGCAAAGTGCTGCTCTCCCGCCAGATCATTTGCCCTGTCCTACTGGCCAAAATCTAAAAGCTTGACAACATCCCTTGGGCAGGACCGAGGAAAAGAAGCCTTCTCCTGTGTTGCTGGTAGTTGTATCAACTGTGCAGCCCCAGTGGAGAGAAAGCATATAGGCAAAGACGAGTGTGAGTTAGTGAGTGTAAGGGAAGGGTGACGGGTGGTTTTATTTTATGTTTACAACACTGCTATAGACTTAAACATTTACAAAATCAGTTACTCGGAACTTGCTGTGTGGAGGAGGTCATCCCATCTGCCTCCCCTCCAGTTCAGGCTGGCCTCGGTCATCTCTTCTGCCACCTGCACGTTCCCTGCCTCCTTCCCACGCTGACCCATTGCCCCTGTTCCCTTACAGGTGAGGACCCTCTTGTGGATGATCAAAATGAACGAGATATCAATTCAGTCGCTGGTGTTTTAAAACTGTATTTCCGAGGACTGGAAAACCCACTCTTTCCTAAGGAAAGGTTTCAAGATTTGATATCTACTATTAGTAAGTATTTCCCAGGCAGAATGACAGTTTCCTTGACAAGTCTTTGTTGAAGTTGCACTGTGAGCTCATCACTGTGCTAGGCACATGGGAAGGACACTGTGAAAGAAGCAGTATGGCCCTTGTCCTCACAGAACTTAAAACCTAGGTGTAGAAATAACAAGATGGTTTATAATGGGAGAGTTAATGGGCATGGTACACCCCTGGGTATGGAAGAAGTTCAGAAGAGAAGAACAGAAGAAGACTTGGTTTCTTCGATCATAGCTGAGAGTGATCCGTGAGCAGAGTCTTCAGGAGGGGCAGACACAGGGATCCTGGGGAGGGTTGGGGACACACAGACCAGTGGTCCAGCAGGAGGGTGTCCCATCCAGAGCATGGTGTGAGAGGCTGGAAGGGGGACACGGAGCAAGAGAGGGAAGACCTTGAATGCCATGCAAGGATTCCAGAGATGTTCCCCTTGGGTAACGTGGAGGCATGGAGGGTTTGGGAGTCAGGTCAGCAACATGACAAACAAGGAAAATGGTGAACATGAGTTGATTAGGGGCTTCCTCTAGCCGTCAGAGTCTTCCTCGACTGGAACGTCTGTGGGTGAAGTCAGGAGCCCAGGTCAGGGGGTTGAAGTGAAGATGCCTTGCCTGTCAGATGCCAAAATCCAAGGAAACCTTTTGTTAATACTTTTAAATTAACTTTTAATTTAGAATATGAACATTTTAGTGTTTTGGGAAACTCTTTAATATGATTGACAGAAAATTATCCCGTCCCCAGTTTCAGTAGGGACACTTCTCACAGTCTTCTGAGTGAGATTTGCAGCCAAGAAAGTGCCCCAGACGTGGTGACAGCCTACGGAGGCCAAACCCCCTCCTGCGCCTTGCGTGGGAAACCCTGCTCCACCCTTCTGCCCTTCACATCGCTTCCTGCTCATCTTTCCAGACCTACTCCAAGCTCCAAATCACCCCTGAGAAATTCCGGACCACAAAGGTCCAACCTCATCTGCTTCCCATGTCACCTGCTCAGCCAGTGATTCCAGAAGCCCCAGTAGTCCGTTCCTGAGCAGGGTCCTCAGCAGACAAGGTGGTTGACCTCAGGCACAAGCTCATTACATTGACTGACTTGAATCACAGCCTAAATCGTCGTACTGTGAGAAAGAACATCCTTCTCAGTTCCTTCCCAAACCCTGTGATTATTTACATCAAGGAAAAAACCTCATGGCCAATCTCCCTTCTCCACGGAGAGATGGAATTCAGTCTCAGGAACTTTTGTTATACAACAATGTCTACCTATAATTTAGTAACATTGTTTTGATTGCATTGTATCTATTTTTATTACCTTCTAATTATAGCAAATGATCCTTATTTCCCATTTACAAAACAAGGTCAAGTCTCCTTTTTAAATAAATGTTTTTAATTAAAAGTTAATAAATAATAGTGAAGGTGGTACGAGGGTGGTATGAGGACATGGAGGGACAGTGAAATTGATAAAGATACAAGAACTGAACTCTGGGAAGGCTCTGGCGGGGCTCCCCGGAGCCAGATCCTGAAGGTGGGCTGGAGTATGCCCGACAGACCGCAGAGGTCAGCAGTGTGTGCAAAGGCCTAGGAGTGGCCAAGCCCTTTGTGAGAGGGCGACGGTGGGTAAGCAGCCTGGCATGTAGTTCCACCACAGGGCACTACTAGCATGTGGGGCAGGAGCAGCGGCCACACCCTGTCCCCGGATGCCAAATGCCAGTAGCACCCTCCAGTCTTTGACAAACTCAAAGAATGCCTCACTCGAGTATGCCTGCAAATGTCCCTTGAGGTGCACTGCTCCTTCATCTGAGAAGCATAGCTCTAAGTCATCTTCAGACATGTTGGGAAGGGGCAGTGACTAGGAGATGGGTGTGCAAGGCTGGTTGAAACCCCTTCATGAAGGGCCTTGGATGCAGAGGAGAAGTTGGACAGGTGTGTTTTAGAAGAAACATGTTGACAGAATGTGAGGGCTGGAGGGAGGAACTGTGGTAGAAAAAACATGTTTTCTGAAAAAAAAACTGACGTGGATTTGTGCACCAGCCCAGCATCAGTGCTGCACATGAACATCAGAGCTTCGGCAGCTCACTCTTTGTGGTGCCAGCTTTCCCTCTCAACTAGGCAAAGCATACATAGCACCTTGCTCTCCTTATCAGGCCCAATTTGCTGCTCCCACCCCTGGCCTGACTGATTCAACACTCTTTTCCTGAGCACCTACTATGTGCCAGCTGATACTATAGCTGAGCTGGTGTTTATAAAGAGTTCGATGAAACATAGTTTACAGGAGATAGAAGCTCAACTTATACTGGCTTAATCTATAAAAGGGAATGCATGGTCTCACATTCATGAAATTTTGGGCCCCCACTGGACACATACCCTACATGGCATTGGCAGGAATTTGTCCTCTCTATTTCTGGGTTATCACCACTTTCAGGCAGGATCTTCTCCCATGGGATCCCTCAGCAGCTTCACACTTTCCTCTGCCCAGTTTCAAGAGGGTGCCTCTCTCTCAGTTCCTCTGGCCCAAAGTCCCAAGGATCAACTGTGATCAGTTCTGATGAGGCCATGACCCCTCCCTGGCCCTACCCAGTGGCCAGGGGAATATGATGCTTTCATTGGCCAAGCCAGGGTCCCATTTCAGTCCCCAGAACTGAACAGAAGTGGCTCCCCTGAACTATGTGGGCTGATCTAGTACAAAGTGGACCTCACGAATGTTGTCTGTTTGGCTCTCTGAGGATGATAGGCGACCTGAAAGCCCCTTTATGTTACAGAACTGGAGAGCCCAGCTGAGAGGGTGCATCAGATCCAACAAATCCTCATCACCCTTCCCCGCGTGGTCATCGTGGTCATGAGATATCTCTTCGCTTTCCTCAACCAGTGAGTTGTCCAGCCAGGGGGGGCCCCTCTTTGACTCAGCCCTGACCTCTTTTGGGAGGGGGATCCCTGAGGCTTTTGCAGGTGCAGCTGTTCTTATAACATGGAACCCTCCCAGAGCTGAGTGGAGCCCCAAGAGAAAGAAACCACAGGGGGAGGCTTCGCCTTTCCCAGGTGACTTGTGGGTGCCTCCTCTCTCGTAGCCTCTCGCAGTATAGTGATGAGAACATGATGGATCCCTACAACCTGGCCATCTGCTTCGGGCCCACCCTCATGCACATTCCTGATGGGCAGGACCCTGTGTCCTGCCAGGCACACGTCAACGAAGTCATCAAAACCATCATCATTCATCATGAAGCCATCTTCCCCAGCCCCCGGGAGCTAGAGGGACCCGTGTATGAAAAATGCATGGCTGGAGGGGAAGAATATTGGTAAGATTCCATTCCTCTTAATATTACTATTACCATCATTGTTGTTGTTGTTGCTGTTGAACAGGAACAGTAAGAAACCCTTTAATTTTCTTACTGCTTTATAGCCAGTACCCCCATATACATTTTCTCATTTGAGCTTCACAGCAACCTGACATGAGATAGATGCATCAGTAAAGACTGTGTTGATTTATAAGGGACAGAGATGCAACTCACATTGGCTTAAGCTAAATGGGAATTTATTGGTTTATTTAAAAAGTCTGAGATCATGGCTTCAGGTATAGCTGGACCCAGGGGCTCAACTATTATCATCAGGACTCAGTCCTACAATCCCCAGCCCATGGCTCTGCTTTCTTCCATGTTGGCTTCATTCTCAGGCAGCCTATTTCTTGGAGGTTTCAAGAAGGCATCTGGTGCCTTGGATGGTGTGGCTCAGTGGATTGAGTGCCGGCCTGTGAACCAAAGTGTCACCGGTTCAATTCCCAGTCAGGGCACATGCCTGGGTTGTGGGCCAGGTCCCCAAGAGGGGGCACATGAGAGGCAACCACACACTGATGTTTCCCTCTCTTTCTCCCTCCCTTCCCTTCTCTCTAAAAATAAATAAATAAAATCTTAAAAAAAAAAAAGGTATCTGGTAACTGCAGATTTAGAGTCCATTCTCTCAGCATCCCCAGTGAAAAAAAGAGCTTCTCCTTCCAAACATTCCAACACTAGCTCAAGAATGGTATCTCCCTGCTAAGTCTTGAGTCTGGCGAACTAAGATTAGCAGATGTAATGCTGTCGTTGGCCAGGTGAATTGTCAGCCCATCCCAGGCAGCAGGGAAGTAGGTAACCCCATTTCAAACACATGAATGGAGAGTGACATACCCTGCCATTGTCCCCTTCACCCGAGTTCTCATTTCCAGAGAGAACTCACTGTCTGTGAGAGCTCCATACCAGGTCAGCAGGTGCAAGTTGGTCACTGGGGTGGGTCTGGGGAGAAGTAAGTTAGGACCTTATCAAAATCAGGGCTGACTGCCTTTCCCAGGCTAAGACCTTAAATGAAGTAAATAGGATTTTTTTTAATGTGGAAAAGACAGGAGATTCAGAACACCAACTGACAGAGACCAACCAGTCAAAGGGTTCATATTCTCTCTTTATTCTCAATCCAAGACAATGCACAGCTGTATATTTAGGCATTACCTGCACTGCTTCGAGCCAGGTGCCTACAGGAGTCTGTCTTTTCATTGTCAGAGTATTCCTGGATTCTTGAATTGCTTTAGTTTTTGTGGGCATATTTGGGCAACTGCTGCAAAGAAGAGACATGTTCCAGCCTCTGTTTCCCACACAGAAGGACCAGACCCTGCTGTTATCTAATCATAGCTCTTTAATCTCATTTGAGGCACTAAGAGTGCGTCTGTCCCTGTTCTGTAATAGAAACATTAAACAGCCAGCAAGCAGACTTTCTGGACAAAGAGCTTTTCAAGGTTTTGTAATCATTACCAGCTCTCCGTTCTTATTGCTATATGTATATAAAATCAGCAGTCTGGGTAGGGTCCTACGCTCTCAGTGTATTTGTCAAAGAACAATATACAGTCACCACACTCTTCTTAATGGCCTTTACATCCCATAAGAAAGGAAAACTATTAATTACATGGTAATTTTAGAGACATTTTCAAAGCACAAAAGTGAGATTTGGCTAAGGGTCTCATCACAATGGACAACATTCATTGATTCAACAAATGGTTATGAGCATCTGTCCTGGCTCAGGCCCTGGGCTGAGGGGGAAGGGATGTACCTCGAACAGGATTAACTCCTGATGCAGGGAGCCCTGGTGGAGGAGGGAACAGGCAGTTCCAGAAATGGGGTCCCCTGAGCCAATGTAGGGAGTTCAGGAAAGGGTTCCTGAAGAAAACAATGACTTAACTGAGACCTACAGAATGAACTGGTGTCAGCTAGGTGGAGTGGGCAAAGAATGTTCTGAACAAGGAAATGCAGTTCTCTGTATCTGGAGTGTTTCACGTGACGAGGGGGTGGTGAGAGAGGATGCTCTGCAGGCCAGCAGGAGCCAAGTGATGAGAGATCTGGAACAAGCTGTTGTGCAGAGTCTGGACCTTATCCAGGAGGCAACAGAGAATTTTTCATAATAAATAAAATCTATATTCTTTTAAATGGTGTCACAAATGTCACCTCCTCCAAGAAGCTTTCCCTGACCACTCTGTGTAGGTCTCCTCTGCTCTTGTCTCTGTTCTTATCTCTGCTCATTGGCTCCTATATAAAACATTTCCACTTGCAGCAGTTTTATTTCCTGGCCCATGAGAGCAGGTCTGTGTCCACCTGACCCCTCAGTGCATCCCACCTACCTAGCATGGTGTCAGGTATATATTAGGACTCAATCAATGGCTCAGTGAAAAAAACTGACTATGTGAATGAACCCTAGCCTCGAGAAATTTATAATCTCATGAGAGGGTAGCAGCTAGTGAAATTATCCCAGTGCATATATGACTAAATTGGACAGGCCTTGACTCACTCTACCACTCTGTCCATCCTGGTTGCCTGCCTGCTGGCGCCACCAAGACTGAGCTGGGCTTCTGCACACAGCAGCTGAAGGTGGCTCTGAGGAGCCCAGCTCCTCGTGAGCTTCCCTCCACCTCGCTGGATGCTCAGCTCCTGTGAAGGCAGGGAGCCAGGCTAAGTGAATGACTCACAGCACTTCCGAAATGCCTTTCTTTTCTGCCCTATGGTTTTCTAAGGATAAAAGTCAAGGTTTTACCACTGCCCTCTGGATCTTACAGAACACCATGGCATTGACAACTTTACCAAGAAGACACCCCAACAAATTCCAGGGCTGGGGGCAACCAGGGAAGGTTATGCAGGGAAGCTTCCCAACCAGGGAGCCGTAAGTGGTTTTCTCTTAGGAAGGAAAGTCCATGGATGGTCAAATGGAAAAGACGGGCTCAAGCGGGCCTGGGCCTGATCTGGGTCAAGGCCCGGATGTGGACTGGGGGCAGTGTGAGGGTACAAAGCCCCTGAGTGAGTTTCCTTCCCATATCTCCTTGCAGTGATAGCCCGCACAGTGAGCCAGGGACCATTGATGAAGTTGACCACGACAATGGCACTGAACCTCACACCAGTGATGAAGGTAAGGGAGGGGTAATCTGGGGCCAAGGAGCCCACCTGGGGCCTCTCGTGCTGACTTATGACTGCTTAATGCTGGACTGGACCGCATAATCCCTCCAGCTTTGTACGTCAGCACATCATCCTGCAGAACAGAGGGGGCCCAGGAAGACTGCAGCGGCCAGTGCACTCCCATTTGCCACATTCCTCATTCCTTTCTGTGTCCTTGCGGGCCCAAGTTCATATCCTACATGACAACAGTTTCCTAAGTAGGAAGCATGCTTTGTCCCTCTGTCCCTCCCCCACCAGGGATCTGTCCTGTGCCCAGCCTGTGCTGGGACTTGGGGCATGTCGCTGAGCTAGACTTGTGTCATTGGGGACCTCCAGTCTTGTTACCTGACAGGTTGGGAGCAGCTCCCCATGATCAGAGTGAGGACGCCAGGCTCCAGATGTGTCCTAGTGTGGTGGGCTGCCAAAATATAAAGCCTAACAGGGATGACCCAGAGATGTGGAGGGGGAGGGGGAGAAGGAGAGGGAGAGGCCAGTCTGGGCTCTGAGGGGCTCAGCAGGCCCTTCCACCCCTTCTAGACTAGCCAGGTAAGTCTCAGGGGCATCTCAACTGCACTGATAAGCAATCTTGATAATACAGGCCCAGGGCCAGCCTATCCATTAGGCAGAGTAGGCACAGTGCCTAGGGCCTATGATACTTTAGAAATGTCTTAATTTCTTTTAAAGCAAGAATAAAAAAATAAATATGACCTAGCCTGGGTTATAGTCATCTTTATACCAATGCAGTTGTAACATATAATTTTTAACTTTTTTTTTAACAGAGGAAAAGACCCATGCCAGTAAAAGTGCAGCGGGTCTGTCATAGTCATAGCACAGCCCATCATCTGCATCTAGAAAACCACTAAGCCATTAGTTCTGTTGGAGGTCCACTATGGGTCAAATTTTGTTTTGGTTGGGATGCGTGCCTCTGAGAAGGGGTCCACAGTTCATCATATTGTGCTAGGCATCTGCTTCAAATCTGTGTGAGATTTTTGTTTGCAGTTCTCAATGTTTAGTAAAAAATTTCAAACATGTAGAAAAGCTGAAGGACTTTATACAGTGAACAAACATACATTTACCACTTAGTTTCTGCAATTGTTAATATGGTGTTTTACTTCTTTTTTTTAAAGATTTTATTTATTTATTTTTAGAGGGGGAATGGAGGGAGAAAGAGAGAGAGAGAGAAACATCAATGTGCGGTTGCTGGGGGTCATGGCCTGCAACCCAAACATGTACCCTGACTGGGAATCGAACCTGCGACACTTTGGTTCGCAGCCCGCACACATGGTGTTTTACTTTATCGTATATTCATCTATCCATCTCTCAGTCCAGTTCACGTTTAACACATTTCAAAGTGCATTGTAATCATCAAGGCACACATCCTTCAAACACTTTAGCATGCAAGTAATTAACTAGGGGTCAATATTGTTTATGGTTCTTTTTTTTTTTTTGAAGTAAAATTACATACACAGAAATGTACAAATCTTAATAGTATCATTCCATGGGTTTTTATAATGCAAAAACTAGTGCTACTCAGACCCCTATCAAGATATGGAACATTTCCAACGCCCCAGAAAGTTCTTCATGCCCCTTCCCAGTCAGTCCCTTCCCCAAATGGCCCAAGAAGCACCCACTGGCTGGCATGATGTACTTTTTCACCACAGACAGCTTGCCTGTTCTAGAGCTCTATATAAATGGAGTTGTATGGAACAGGGTTCTTTGGCTCTTGTTTTTTGCTCAACATAATATTTAGAGATTTATGCCTATTGTGTATATTAGGTAAGGTTTTGAGGGTATTAAACAGTAGTACAGTCAGCTTATATATGAACACCCAATTTTGCCTGAACCATGGCCACTCTGCCCTGTGAGAAATAAAGAATGGTAGAAAGTGAAAAACAGTGGCCACTTTATTGCTGCCTTGGCTACTGTTCCTAACCCCTCATGCAGAGGTGGTAAAAGGGCCTGCACCACGTGGCCGAGGCCTGGAACCTAAGAAGGACTTTCCCTTCCTCTTGTTTTAACCATTTTATTGTAATATAATTCACGTAGCATACAATTCATCCACTTAACATGTGCAATTCAATGGTTTTCAGTATATTCACAGATATGTACAGTCTTGACACAATTTTTGAACTTTTTAATCACCATGAAAAGAAACTCCATGTCCTTAACTATCATCCCTCACCCTCCTATCTCTGCACCCCACGCCCCACATTTTCCCCAGCCCTAAGCAATTACTAATCTATTTCCTGTCTCTACATATTCATCTGTTCTGGGCATTTCACACAAATGGAATCATGCGATACGTGGCTGCTGTGTCTGGCTCCTTTCACTCAGCATAGTGTTTGCAAGGTTCATCCCTGTTGTAGTGTAGATCTGGAATGTGTTCCTTTTTATGGCTGAATAATATCCCCTTGTGTGGATAGACTACATTTTCTTTATCCATTTGTCAGATGATGGACATTTGGGTTGTTTCCACTTTTTGATTATTATGAATAATGCTGCTATAAACATTTGTGTACAACTTTGTACAGGCATGTTTTCATTTCTCTTGGGTATACCTATGCAGGAATTGCTGGGTGATAAATAGCTCTGTGTTGAATCTTTTAAGGAACTGCCACACTGCTTTCCAAACCCTAGTGGGCATGAAGTGGTGTCTCACTGAGGTTTTGAGTTGAATTTTTCCAACAACTAATGATGCTGAGCATCTTTTCATGTGTTTGTTGGCTATTTGTATATCTTCTTTGGAGAAATGTTACTTCAGATCCTTTGCTCACTTTAAAATTTGGTTGTCTTTTTATTATTGGGTTATAAGAGCTCTTTATATAGTTTAAATATAAGTCCTTTAGCAGATACATGACTTACAAACATACTCCATAGGTTGCCTTTTCACTTTCTTAATGGTGTCCCTTGAAGCATAAAAGCTTTGTTGCTTATGCTTTTTGTGTTATATCTAAGAATCCTTTGCCAAAACCAAGTTCATGAGATTTAACTTGTTTTATGCTAAGAGTTTTATAATTTGAGTACTTATGTTCAGGTAATCCATTCTGATTCATTTTGAGTTAAAGTTTGCATATGGTGTAAGGTACTAGCCCAGTTTTATTCCTTTGTGTGTGGCTCTCCATTTGTTCCAGCACCATTAGTTGAAAAAATTATTCTTCCCCTCACTGAATGGTCTTGGCCTTCTTGTGAAAACATCAGTTCACTGTAGGGGTTTATATTTGGACTTGCAATTCTATTCTACTGGCTTATATGAGTGGGGACCCAAAAAAACCAGAATAGTCTTCTGGAAGGCAGGCCCCTTGTAGTACAGGCTTCCCCTGCTAGGTGAGTCTTCTAGGAACCTATCTGGGTTTTTTTTTTAAGTATATTTTATTGATTGTGCTATTACAGTTGTTCCAATTTTCCTTCTTCCCTCCAGCAATCCCCACCCCCCCCCCGCCCGCTTAGTTCATGTCCATGGGTCGTGCATATAAGATCTTTGACTTCTCTATTTCTTCCACTTTTCTTAACATCTCCCTGCCTATTTTGCATCTATCAATTATACTTCTTAATCTCTGTACCTTTTCTCTCATTCTTCTGCTTCCCTTCCCCACTGATAACCTTCCAAATGATCTCCATATCTATGATTTTTTTCCTATTCTAGTTGTTTGCTTAGTTTGTTTTTATTTTTTAGATTCAGTTGTTGATAGTTGTGAGTTTGTTATCATTTTATTGTTCATAGTTTTGATCTTCCTTTTCTCAGATAAGTCCCTTTTAACATTTCATATAATAAAGCCTTGGTGATGATGAATTCCTTTAGCTTTGCCTTGTCTTGGAAGCACTTTATCTACCCTTCCATTCTAAATGATAGCTTTGCTGGATAGAGTAGTCTTGGATATAGGTCCTTGCTTTTAATCACTTTGAATACTTCTTGCCAGTCCCTTCTTGCCTAGAAGTTTCTTTTGAGAAATCAGTTGATAGTCTTATGGAAACTCCTTTGTAGGTAACTGTCTCCTTTTCTCTTACTGCTTTTGAGATTCTCTCCTTTTCTTTAACCTTTGGCATTTTAATTATGATGTGTCTTGGTGTGGTCCTCTTTGGGTCTAACTTGTTTGGGACTCTCTGTGCTTCCTGGACTTGCATATCTATTTCCTTCACCAAATTAGGGAAGTTTTCTTTCCTTATTTTTTCAAATCAATTTTTAATTTCTTGCTCTTCCTCTTTTACTTCTGGCATTTCTATGATTGAGATATTGGCACTTAGGGAGATGTCCCAGAGTCTTCTTATTCTCTCCTCATTTTTTTTTTTTAATTCTTGTGTCTTGATTCTGTTCTGGTTGAATGTTTATTTCTTCCTTATGTTACAGATTGTTGATTTGAATCCCAGCTTCCTTACCTTCACTGTCGTTTCCCCGTGGATTTTTTTTTTTTGCTTACTGTAGCCTTCGTTTCTTCCCTTATGTTTTTGCCATATTTAATGAGTTCGCTGAGCATCCTTATCACCAGTGTTTGAACTCTGCATATGTATCTCCATTTTGCTTAGTTCTTTTTCTGGGATTTTGTTCTGTTCTTTCATTTGGGTCATATTTCTTTGTCTCCTTGATTTGGCAACCTCCCTGTGTTTGTTTCTCTGCATTAGGTAGAGCTGCTTACTCCCTGTCTTAGTGTATCTGTTAAGTTGTATGGGGCAGAGCCTTCAGTATTCACCAGGGTGGGCCAACCCACTTCACTGCTTTGTGACTGTGTATGAGGGACAGGTTGGAGAGGGGACAATGCCACTGAGACTTGTTCAGCATTCTCCCCATTTCTAGTCACTTCACCCCCTTCCTGTATGCAGCTAGTGCTCCTGTAGCTGCCACCCTATTGGTGGTTCCCAGAGTGGGTGAGTTTGTGTTCCTTCTAGGACTATGTGGGCCCTTTAAATGGCCTCTCCTGGGAGAATGGCAGTTTGTTCCACCACCCCAACCTCCACTGGTTTTTACAGCCACAAGTTATG